CTCTTGAACAAAATCTTTAAATTTGGATTTCTCCCATGAAAAAATTTGAAACTTCAGCACTGTTACCCAATAGCTCTCAGAGGTCCTATAAAGGTACTGCTTTTTTTTATTACAATTCTGTGAATTATAATTCACCAAATATCAAGGTCATTCCAGGTAACCACTTAAAGAACTAGATTTAATATAACGACTGAAATCATACAAATTTTTCACTTTATCTCAGATTAAAATTTATTGAGATTTTATTAAAATTTATTTGAGATAAAGAAAAGTGAAATAAAATGCTAACCTAATCAAAGGTAAAAATATTTTGCTGTTATAAAATTCACAATGTAAAATGTTTATAAAAATTCTAAAATTTTTTAATAATTTCTTTTTTCTCCCAAATATTGGGAAATATTTTTATATTCAATTAAATACATACTTACATAATTCAATTGGTTTTTAGATGATAACTAAGGTTATATGATGAAACTTTTTGAATGATTTGAGACTAATGATAAAAAAAATTTTTCCATTATGTTATATTCAATACGGGATTTTTAGTACTTTGTGCTTCAGATAATGTTTTAATTAAAATTCTACATAATGAAACAATTCGCCTAGCCTAAATTAAATTCTAATTAGAAGACGAATTTTTTAAACTATTTAATTAATTAAATAAGATCAGTGGTTCTCAATTCTTTTCAGGTTACGACATCTAGTACTTTCATTTTGAATTAGTACTGCACTCATTGATACATTTGACATTTACAAAAAACTTTTATTCAAAATATAAGGCCAATTCTTACTTAATGAATGTCATTGATTTTCTTCTTGTTATGAAAATATATTACTCGTATATAAATTCATATAAATTGTCAAACTACAATTACTTTATATTGCGATTGTATTATAACATAGCGATTTATTCTGCCATTGAAACATCGCCACTTTCAGACGAAAACACTTATATATTTTAAAACACACACACAACCGATTAATACGTAATAAATTTTATTATTCCTCTTATGCTAAAAGTAACTTTTAATTTATTTAAATCCTCCTTTTAATTCTCAAAAATCATTTTGAATTCTTTCGTAAACAAAAAATTAAATACTCTCAAGGTTTTGCCAACTTACATTGGATTTCTTTAATGTAGGAATAAGTCAATACAAAATGCCGCACATTACAGATATATTTTCTATAAACCCAATTGAATGCGAATTAATAAGCAATGTTGAATTGGATGCGATCTAATTAGCAATACAAAATTTTATACACAAGCATAAGTCCATGAAAACAATATAGTCCACATATTGTTACATTTTCAAAAATTATGTTAAGAAAAAATTATTTTAAATTATTAGTCTTATGCTTGCAATATATTTAACGAAATATTTAAAATGACATTTTGTGTTTATCCTTGAGTATAATTTTTCAGAAAACACAACTTCTTTTTAAAGCTACGAATAGCAGTGAACACAACAAACATTGTATGTGAATGTTTTACAACCCAGTTAAACATATAAAAGAGCTGCTTAAGTTGAAGTGAAAAACTAATCTTATAATTTATTTTTTAGGTTAAGTACATTTAATTGAACCCCGTCACAAGACATAACGTACTATGTATGTACATATATCAAAAAATAGAATAGTAACAAAAGAAACATTTTAATATCTGAAAATTATTTAAAAAAGGAAGAACCAACTCTATTTGATGTGCGAGTATGTACATGTATGAAAATTTTTTTGCAAGTGGAATTAAAATAAAATTTATAGTGATACTTAACATCATTTCTTTACTCTACCCCATATCACATTGAATTTTCTTTAAACTTTAAAGGGTAATTTAAACGTATACAACGTTGATCTACATGTTGCCTGTGTACAAATTATGAATTGGCAAAGGAGTACCTATATGTTCTATGTAATAAACATAAACATTATTACAACTGGAAAAAAAAATAGGAGATATGTATTATACGCTTAGATAAAACGATACAAACGTGTTCTTGATCGCATCTAGCATGTCATACGATAATGATGTGTACGTAATTTAGTGAATATACTAATTAAATTAATAATTTTCACCACGTGTCGTGAGGAAAATTACGTCGTGTCGACTCAATTTTCATTCAACTTTTACTCAATAAGAGTTGCAGTTTGCGCAAATATGTTTCTAAAGAAAACATATCAAAAGTCACACTACATGTTTTTATTCAACATAGTTAAACAAATTTGTTTTTTCAATATTTTAGTTGAAAAGCGTTCCACACAGGCAGAATTCAATATTTCTTTACATACTCTTTTCTGAATTTAAAATAATCCAAATTTCAAACTAATTAGTAAACTACAAAGCCTTTTTTTATTTTCTGTCTAAAGATGTTACAAATTATTTATAAAACTTATATATTCTTAAATTATCACTAAAAAGAAGGTGAAATTTCTATTTCACCTTCGAAAGTAATTATGTATAATACATTTTACTAAATGAATTATATTATTAAGCATATTGCTTTGGTTTCCTAACAAATAAAAAGACATGTGGAAATACTCCACTTTCTAGTGGACCTCTAGAATTCAACGGAGATTCGGTTGTAATTTCTTGCTTACAATTTCCAAATTTACAATCAGCTTTGTTTATATTTGATACATTTGGTAGTGTTGTACTAATAATATCATCTTTTTTCATTGAATCTCTTTCTTCATTTCCTGTTGCTAATTTTGTTGGAAAACGAAATATAAAAGTACTTGGTGTAGGATGTGGTTTAACTGTTGTTGGTATCATATCTTCATTTTCAATATCATCAGATGGTGTTGTAAATTTACTTTTAAAATTTTGTTTTTCTATCTTTTCGTCTGATGAGTTTGGTACTTCAAAACCAAATCGATTTTCTTCATTTAATTGTTTTTCGGAATTTTCATTACACATGCATGGTTGCTGATTACATGTACAATAAGCGTTTGATGGAGTCTTCAAGTCAGATTCATTGTCAGTTTTTAAAGGAACTATTTTCAATATTTTACTTGGTTCATCGTCTTTTTTAGGTTGTACTTTTGTTAAAGAATCAAAAAGAGAAAGTGCTAAATTGAATGGATTTAAAAAGAAGGTTGGAGCTTTTTGTTGAATTGGTTCAGCTTCATCTTTTTTAATATCAGCAATTATTGGTTTTTTATTATTACCGTACAATTTTTGAATATAATTTTGTTTTTCTTTCATAAAATCTTCTTCTGGAATTCTTTGGCTTACAGAATTATCTATGTCATTCAATGATTCTATTTCATCTTCATTCTCGAAATTTGGAATTTTATCATTTAGTTTAGAAATTTCAGTAATTTTAGTTTCCTCAGTTTTACTTTCATCGATCTTTGGAATAATTGAATTTTCTTTTGATTTTTTGATTTCTTCCAAATCTGATGTTGTCATTGTTTTACTTGTCCATAGTGTTAATTTACTTGGAGAGTTTTCCATTCGCATGAATGAACTATACTGAAATGATTTTCCATTTTCGGCTATTATTCCCAATTGAAATACACTAGAAAATAACAGTATCTAAAAAAAAATTAAAAGAACACAATTAAAGTCAAAGCGTAACTCGATGATGCATGAAAAGCAACATTTTATAGTTTTAAATCGCAATTTGTACCTTCAATACGATTTTTCGTAACATTTTTTAGTATAATTCATTAATATAATGATTAAATAACTAATTAATATTAAAATTTTACTGTTATTTATATTAGTAAACAACTAACTTAAAAATTTTAGCCTACGTGTCATTTTATCGAAATTCAAAAATTGCTAACATATCAAATAATAATGTACGATTTAAAAACTATAATGCGCACGTCGAAATCAAACCAAGGCGAAAGAAAACAAATTTAGAGTGGAATTTTTAGTTAAGAAGTGAAAAAATTAAAATTATTAATAATTATGTATGAAATTTGTGTTTTTTTTTTGTAATTTCTCATATTCGCCACACTGTCAAATAATCTTACATTTAGTAACACAATTTAACTTTCATTTTATAGAAAGCAAAATTAGAAATACCGAAAGAATGCAAAATATTTTGAATCTAACACAAATAACTTATGAAGAACCACTGGTTATTAAAAATTGCAAAAACAGAAGTATAAAACTTTAAGAAAACAGCTGATTCACAAAATTAGCTTATTGCATTTTATTGGAATTGCAAAAAGAACCTTGATGTTTCATTTTAATGAAAATTTTAAAGAAAATTTTATTTTAACGAAATTCATAGCAATTACCGTTAGCTATAAATAAAGTTACTTAAAATTTTAAATATATTTAGAATAGCGTTGAATTCTTGGTATAAAAATTGGTGGATTCTTGGTTAGAGTAAAAATTTTTAATATTGAGCCTTATTTAGGCTCAATATTAAAATTAACAAATTGATAACACTATTATTACTGAACAGATCTTAAAATGCCAAAAATTATTTGAAATGTTGATAAAGCATCAAATTTGAAATTGTATTCAAATAATATGGAATAGAGTGCCTCGTCAAACTTTATGCGCAAATTACTTGAAACTCGATACTTAACGCAGTTTTTATGATATATGTACAAGCCACAGTATACTATCCATGTGTAAGCCTTGTCGTAAAAAGTAATAAACGTTAAGTTGAATTAAAATAATTATGTAATTTTGGAAATCATTTTGAACCAAGGTAAGCTATGAAAATATTACGATTCCAAAACAAATTTGAAATGTATCCAACAATTTTACAATCACATTAGCAAAGTAGATTTTGGCTATGTGTCCTTTTGTATAGGCAAATTGATTTTGCTCGAAGAAGCTCTTACTTCACCATCAACATTGTTTCAATTAAAACTGCATTGTAATCAAATCTCAGACAGAACCCATAATATAATTTTATGAAAGATACTCCAAATGTAATCAAATTAAATATTTGATAACCCTTACAAATTACATGTTTTTAATTAAATTTTTAAATTACATGCCAATTTATTTACATCATTAAAAATATTTACAGCTTGGCGTGGCTATTGGATTTGTATTGCCTCCTGTATTAGTTGGTAATCACGATGATTTAGAATTAATTGGTAAAGATCTTCAGGTTATGTTTTATATGGTTGCCGGTTTTACATCAGTTTTAGTTATTCTAATGATTTTGTGTGAGTACCTACATATCTAAATATGTATATTAATAATTTTAATATTTAATATTATCAAAATTAAATAGTAATTGCATTTCTCTTTATAAATTTAATAAAAAATATTTTTCTACAAATTTTTCCGCAAGGACTCTATAAATTTTAAAATTAATTTTACTGTACCCGAGAAAAACGAAAGTAAATTTATTTTCTTTTTTGGTTTTTTGTTACTTGTTTCTTTAAAACTACTATAATGGAACTACTATAAAATGAAACACAACTATGTTGATAATAAAAGTTTTCCAAGATCATCCACCAACACCACCATCAGCTGCACAAGAAGCATCTAGAGCACCAGAAGTTGAAAACATAAACTTTTTACAATCATTGAAAAATCTCGTCCTTAATAGAAATTATATTTTTTTATTAACATCCTACGGCATGAATGTTGGTGTCTTCTATGCTATTTCTACTCTACTTAATCCAGTAAGTATGTTAGCTGGTATATGTGTATTGTGCTAATAGCAAAAATTATTTACAATTTTAAGTTTTGTATTAAAAATATGATTAAAAAAGAAGGTGCAAATCAATAATTTAAAAATATTATAAAATTTTCTTGAAAAAATTCTAAACGATTCTAATAAGTGTGAAGATTCCGAAACAAAAAATACCTGGCTACCTAACTGATTCAATTAACGGTTTAATTTTAAATAAATCAGTAATAAAATCGTTAATTAAATTAAAAACTCGTTAAATTATAAACTAATTATAGAACAGATTTAAAAAATCAATAATTTTTTTAATATCACACCCTCGCAAACATTGAAATTTCGTTTCAAATAAATTGTTTTATTAAAATTTCAACTGTAAATCACGAAAATAAATTCAAATTTCGGTCAATATCTAATGTTTTGGTCTTTTGCTTTTGTTCGATATTTTTTATTTTAATGAAGAAAGAAAACGTGAAAGAATTCTAAGTAAATCTAAGCTAAAATCATTTGAAAAGAAACGGATAAGATTGAAATTGTTCACGTTTTTTCTTACATTCCGTGAAACAAATTTAAAAAAAAAATTAATTTTATTTTATTTTTTGTTTTCTTCGTGAAGGTCGTATTAAAATACTATCCTGGACATGAAGTCGATACTGGTCGTATTGGTTTATGTATTGTATTGGCTGGCATGTTGGGTTCCGTTCTATCAGGAATTGTTCTAGATAAAACACATCGTTTCAAGTAAGTATTGCAATTAATTTTTTTTAAAAAAATAAAAATTTTTTGAACATTTTGTATTAGCTGAATCATTTTATTACTTTAACCAGCTGATTTTTGTCTTTAATAGGTTATAATTGCCGTTCTATAAGAACTATCTACATACCATTACTTTAAAATTGCAATAATCCTCTACTGTTACATAACTTACCAATTATACCCTGTGAGCTTAATATTCTGTATTATATATTAATTGCTGAATAAAATATTAATACTGTATAACAGTAATTTTAAATCCAAGAGACATAAAATAAATAAAATTTAATTGTTTTGTGCTTTCTCTTAGAAAATCTTTTACAAAATTTAACACTGTTTTGAGCACAATTTTGACAGTAATTGCAAAGAAATTGTAACTGAATAAATTCATCAGTAAAGGCTGATAAAAGCAGCATAAAAACATTTTAACGATTAAAAATAACGATACTGATAAATAAAAATTGCAAGTTTCATCATTATTACATGGCGTATGTATGTGTCAGATTTTATTTATGCCACTGTCACCATTGTTCTTCTGTTCATTATTATAAAAAACGTTTTTATTCATTAAAAAAAATACATTGAATCGGAAGAAATTTTTTTAAGAAATAATTGAATTTTTTTAATGAACTGCAAACAAATTACATATTGCAACAAGATGCATAGCCTATGTTACATATTTTTTGAAAATCCATTTAATTTCTACAGAAAAAAAATTAATTTGAGGAATTGAAGTGCATTAATATTTTCTGCATTGAAAAATTATTTGATAAAAATAAACATGGTAAAAAACTTGTGGCGGATTTTGTCAAAAATGACAAATGTCCAAAAATACTATGCGGGAAACGTAGATCGTCATTCAAAATTTTTTGTTTCACAAACCCATCCCTTGTTCTTCAATTTAAGAAATTTGGCATATGTCTACCTACTCTATATTGGTGTTATTTTCTTGTTATGGCCATTGTAAAACTAAAACTAATTTTTTGTTTATTCTTAAATTTTAAAATACATATTTTATTAAAACATAATAAGTAACGAGATTAGGGTAAAAATGAAAATAAATTGAAATTTATATCCTTATGGGAAAAATAGACTTTTTTCCTATACCCTTTATTGTAATAAAAAACCAAGTTTATAATGTAGTTAATATTTTTTGTGTAAATTTAAACAAAAAGGAAAAACATTTTTGACCTTAAATTTAAAGTTTAAGAAAAGTTTATTCTCCAAATCTTTAACTTTACACTTGAAAAAATATTCGCACAATGTCAGCTATAAATTATGGTTTCATCTGACCAAAAAATTTTTAAATTTAAATATAAAATTTTAAAAATTATTGACTGTAAAGAGTGTTGGAATTTCCAAGAACCTTGGAAAACATGAGGTACAGAGTTAAACTTAGTTGTTTTTAAATAGCTATATGCAGAAATTCGTTAAAAATACGTAATAAATTCTGTTTCTATATTGAATTATCAATAAGAAGTGATTTTGGCTCTCATTCCTTTAAACTTTAAAGGATTTAAAACTCTCCAAACGAACAACCTAAAATACACCACCCTACATAAAAGAGTAGTTCAAAAAAATACTTAGGCACAATTATTCTATTAAATATACATATACATACAGCACCTTACATATGTATGTATGTATCTATTGAAATATTTTTCGTTGCCATTAATTGTAAAACGTTAAGTAAATGCAATATTTTGTAACATGTATGTATTATTTTATGTAATAATTTTTTATTAAAAATATTTTACAGAGAAACTACATTAGCAGTTTACGCATTCTCAATGGTTGGTATGTGGGTGTTTACATTTACTCTTGACACAGGCCATATAGCTGTAGTTTATGTAACAGCATCACTTTTAGGGTAAGTTTAAAAATAAAAATTAAAATAATGTAAAAAAAAAAACCTTAAATAGGTAAAAATTTGATCATTTTATAAAGCAATTTTATTTCAATTGAACTTAAAAAATCAATTATAAAATGTTGAGTAATTTTAACTTTTGTTTTTAATATTCTATTAAAATAAAGTGAAACTTCATAAACAAAAAATTTTCTTCAACTTCAATTTATAATTCTAGCCTAATTTTTTATTTCAATTATGCTGAAAGTTTATTCTCTTTTCAATTTTAAATTAAAAGCTACCTCGTTCTTCATCTACAAAATTACAAAAGTGTGGAGTAAATCGTATGTCTGCGAATGCCATGAAAATAACTTAACCCTTAACAAAATTATTATAGAACAAACAAACAAATCTATTATGTGCTATTGTTTGTTTCATTAAATTTATTTAAAATAAAATTGCTTTAGAACACTTAATTTAAAACAATAGAATCATAATAAGCATATTATGAATTGCTCGCTAAAATAGTACAATTATATTTTATAATAAATATATGTACATAGTATAATTTAACATAGTGCATAACATAGCAGAATAATTTAAAAAAATAGAGAAGTTCGATTGTTTGTTTCCTCTTCTACGAAAAGGCATTTAATAATTAATCAAGTTTATTTTGAATTTAATTGCTTTTAAACAGCAGATTTCAAATATGAATCAATAATTATTGTTAAGCTCATAATTCGACACCAAGTCTTATATTTGTTTTTAATGTTCTAATAAGTCATAAATATTTTTTATATGAGAAGATTTCCAAAACCAATATAATTATATTATACTTAAATTTAAATATTTAACTTAATAATTTTTTAAATTTACAGGTTCTTTATGACTGGTTATTTACCAGTTGGCTTTGAATTTGCTGCTGAATTAACATATCCAGAACCTGAAGGTACATCAGCTGGTTTATTAAATGCAGCTGCACAAGTTTTTGGCATACTATTTACAATGTTATATTCAGAATTGTTAACAGCATTTGGTGATATACCTGCAAATATAGTAATGGCTGTAATGTTATGTATTGGAACAGTAATAACAGCAATTATCGGTTCAGATTTAAGGCGGCAAGCAGCACAAATGCCAACAAGTACTAGTAATCCACAAATTTAAAAATAATAAACAATTCTTATATATTCATATATAGTACGAGCATTTGGAAACATTATCAAAATTTTTAAAATTTAAAACATTACCTAAATACAAAACAAAAAATTGTGTTATCATACATATTTATATATATAGCTACAGCTAAGTAAAAAGATTTCAATATTTATATGTCCTATACATGCTATAAGAAAGCATATGCGTATATACATATAGCGAAATGATAGAAAAAAATTAATATTAAAAATAAATTAGAATTAAAAATATAAAATTTTTATTTTTGTTAAAAAATCAAAGAAAAAATTAATTGGTTATATGAAATAATGCCATAAGTCACACATCAGTAAAAAAAAATTGTACAAATCAAAGTAATTTACCCTTGTCCTTGTGGGTACCATTACAATCGTTTCTCACTCGTGTTTATAGTATAACAGTTTTCTTGAAAAATTTGTCTTCTGCATTGAAATATAAAACTGTTAAACGAAAATTTCGAAATATGCATGTCTATTTGAATATATTATGTAAAAAATTGTTCAAAAAGTATAAAATTTGTCTGTTGACGGAACGGTTAATAATATTATTGCTATATTATGCATGTGAATGGCTTATGGCGTTATTTCATATATTATTCAATCATATATATATATAAATATATATAAATATATATCTATATATATATACATGTTATATATACATATTTGTTAATATTTAACTACAAAAATATATTTCGATGCAAAATTATTATTGATATTTTGATATTAAGTGTTAAAGCTACAATAAATTTATTGCTCTTCTTTTAATTATAAAAATTTTTTGTTGGTGTCAGAATCTAAATTAATAAGTTATTTACAAAATTGGCTGGTCCAGAAATTAAATTTTTAATTAACATATATAAGTACATTTATATTTATAATATACTAAAATAATTATTAATTGTTTGTTTTTTAAATTGATTCTTTAAAAAGAACGATTTCATGTATTAAATATTAGTTTCACTAGCATTAATTATACAATATATGAATGAGGTGGTATTGTTTAATTAAGAATTCATCTATATATATAACTCAATTGCTTTCAACACAATTTATATTTAATATTAGTTCATATAAATTAATATTTTATGAGAAGAGCCCAAGCTGGGACGAAATAACTTTCAAAATAAAGCAAAAAATATCCATAATTTTCTATTATGCTGAATGAGAAGCAACGCCACAATCAATAATAATCAAATCAAAAATAAACTTTGATTACGAAAAAATCGTCATAAAAGTAAAAAAAAAAACTGTTATTAATAAAAGTTGTCATAATTTCATTTGTTGACCCACCTCTTAATGAACACTCTTAAATAGTCCACCTTTATGTGTAAATATTATTATATGTATAAATTTAAATAGCTGCAATAACTCAAATTGAATTTGATGCAAAAATATTAATAAAATAAATATTTCAAGTTCTAAGCAAAATTTTCAAAAATTACAATGATATTGTTACATATTTTTTATTATAATGCTTTATTTGTGATAAGTTTCCTTAAACTTTAATTATTTTGAATTTTCAAATGCGATATCTAATGGCACTAACAAAGTAATTAAAAGTGGAAACTTTATACGGTAAACAAAATATATTTAATTCTATATTATTTTTACTGTTTTCATTCGATTTTTCATTTAATACTCATAATTCGAATTAAGTGTATAAAACATATTTCTGAAATGTCTGATACTAAAAAAAATCGTGTTTGAAGAAAAAACTCCAATTAAGTGATTTCTTACAGCTATGCTTACTAAAACGACATATACGGATATAATTTTTAAAAATAAGAGTAATCTTTTAAACCTACATATTAATAATTTATTGCAATTGATTTTATTTATTCTATAACAAACTGAATCATTCACCGGCAATATTCCAAAAACTATTTGAATTTTAAGTTATTGGACACCCTTTTACATTATATTAAAAAGCATCGTAACATATTGGTAAAATTAACATTTAAAGTTTATATTCGAAATTATACATTTTAATATGTTAATATTGTCAATTGGATTCCCACGTATTTGAAATATTAAAAAAAAATTAATATATTTATTTATACAATCGAATAATAAGTATATAATATATATTTTAAATTAGTAATTAAGCTATTGTATAAAAAAGTGATTTAACTACTAGAAATTAAATATCAGAAAAATTTGAAAACTTCTAAGATAGAAACATTATTTTTTATTTTTTAAATATAACACATATTATATAAAGCATGACTAGATAAATTTGAAATGCTTAAGAATGTTAACAAAAGCATTATCCAAAACTTTTATAAAATTTAATGAAAAATAAAAAAAAATTGAAAACCTATATTTAATAGACAAGATGGACCTTTCAATTAATATCAAATTGTGAATGTAATTTCAAACAAATAAGCAATTTGCAAAAAAACGTTTGTAAAACAATAAAAATCTTAAAACCTATATCTGAATTTTGATGAAACAAATTGCAATTTCAGTTCTTTGTTTGTGATTTTGTAAAAAAGAAAATGTTCTATTGTAAGAATTCAACTCGTCAAACTTTACATGTAATTACAAAATTATTTTATCTTATAAGGTAAAACGAGAAGTTATTACAATTTAAAAATAAAACGCTAATTGTCGAAAAAATTTTAAAATTAAAGGAAATTTTGAAAAGAACATCCTTTCTTTAAATATTTACGTTGAACGGAAAAATTTATACCGTTTACCTGAAAGCATAAAATATTTTGTGATAAAAATTCTCGGTTATTTTTTTTTTTTAATTAAAACTTATTTGGTCAGCTAATAAAGCAGCTTTTTAAATTAAAAATTTTTCTTTAACAACAAAATGTTTCATCAAATTTCTCTCTATTTTTCTCTATTGTGAATTTTACAAAAAATTTTAAAGACAATATTTATGAAACAAATACCTGCATAGAAATTACATAATTATTATTTAAAATGTACCTTCGGAATTAAAAGAAAAAATTTGTTATATTAATAATGTTGTAATAAAATTTAAACCAGAAATTTTAAAGAAATAAAAATTGTTAATATCGACTGTTATAAAAAGTAAATAATAATGTATATGAATGTAAGTATGTGTTATAGGAAAATAGTCACAAAATGTTAAAATAATTTAATGTTTAAACAAAAAAAAAATTGTATATTTTAGATAAATGTTAAAAAAATCAAGCATATATAAAAAGTAAATACATACATACAATACATACATAAAAAGTAAATACATACATAAAAAGTAAATACATATAAATTTAGCTAAATTCAATAATATAAATTGAAAAAAATTTAAATTCATGAATGCTAGTGTTAAGTCCATTTTTCGAAATTAACAAAAACAAAATATGTAATAAAAAATTAATTAAAAAAATTGTAAAAATTTAACCAAATATACGTAAAAATATACATAATTAACGTCTTCTTCTAAAATTTACAAAATTTGTACAATCATGACGTTTGTGTTGTGTTATTCAAACTATAGACTCAAGAGCTTTATGTTTATTTATGCTACACAAAAAAAAACTGGACGTACATATATAATACTCATCTTCCTTAAAAAATAAATTTGATATTTACCATTGAAATTTTAATTACATTCTTATTTCATATTAAATTAATTGGACCTCACAATAAAATAATCCAAATAGCGACATAATTTTTGCAATTTTTTTTATATAAATTTTGAAATTTTACATATTTTCTTACTTTATAAAAATGATAGATTAAAAATTCAAATTATACAATATTCTATAAAACCTCATTATTCTAAAAATGATTGAATAACAAATATTCGAATTCTCCATATACTTAATTTTCTTTTCAATTCTTTTGTAATTTCCAAATGTAAATCTTTTTTTTCTAAATTTGAAACTTTAACATAATTAACACTTTTAGTTCATTTTGAATGAACTATAAGCATCATTGTCATTTGGCGGTAAATTCAAGAACCCAATGGCATGACTAGTTTATATTTCAGTCCTTTATATAGTTTTTCTTATAAAAATTAATTTATTTTTTATTTAATATTATTTTTTTTAATTCAATCTGTGTAACACATTTTAGGTGAACTTCCTAAATCTTCGCATAAATATATCTAGTAAATATACAACAAATTGCACTTTAAATAAATTTATAAATTAATATAAAAAAATAAGGGAAATGGACTATATTTTTTAATATAAAATTTAGAATATAATATTGTTATATTATTGTAAACCAAAAATAAAAAAAAATAAATACATACATTATATTTATAGAAAAAAGAAAGTAGAATGCACGACAATAGATATTTACTAAATAGACATAGAATATGAGTGTCAAATAAATTTAGTTACATCTTTAACATTATGATATTAATCATACGTATATATACATAATATATTTATAGTATTTTAAGTAAAAAGAGTCATACTATATATAAGATTTTGGTTTAATTTACGTTTTTATTGTCGTTAACAATAATGAAATTTAAATAATATATACAAAATCCAATATACCTTAACCTTGATAAAAAGGATTGTGAATAGATTTCTTCTTTTCATTTTTGCTTGTTGGTTGCTTGTATATCAAATGCCCCAATTACAAATTTCTGCAACAAATTAAATAGATTATCGACAAGTTTATAAAGAAAGTCATTCAATTATATATTATATAAATTTACCTAAAAATTATTTGTAAACGTATTCATAAAAAATTTAATTTTCTCCATTACATTATTCTGCGATAAACTCTAAAAATTAAAAAAAATTAGTCAAAAGTCTGAAATTCGATCTTGCAGTAAACATTCATGGAAATGACGTTTTACACTTGTTACATATTATAATTTTCATATTTTGCAAATTTGTATATAATGCAAAATATCATATTTTCCAAATGAAAAATTTATTATAAATAGTATATTAGCTTAAATTATGGAAGAATCCCTTAAAAAATTCCTTTTTTTTACTTTATCAACAAATAAGAGTACATAAAAGACAATAAAAACAAAAATTTTATTAAACTGTTATACGTTAAATCAAATATCTATAAATCGAAATTAAAAATAATAAACTACGTGTGAATATAATTGACATAATTTGCTCGAAATTGGCTCGAAACAAATTGTATAAGGCAAGCGTTTTAAAAGATAAAACACATGTAATTGCAAATCTAATATCAGTTGTTGATGACTCAAATTGACATTGACATTAGATCTACATTTGGTAAACGCTCGTAGTTTTTAATTTTGAATTTATTTGAAAATAACAAATAAATAATATTGACGGTAACACCTTTAATTGAAACCACCAAAAATTACTCCATTATTCTGAAGTCTCCTTTTAAATTTTGAAATATTTTATTATAAAATCAAAATATTAACCAAAACAAACAAACGACAAACCATAACACACCAACCAAATAATACAATAAAAAAAAACAAACGCTTAATATTTAAACAGAGAAAACTAGATTTTTTTAACAATGTACAGAGAAATTGTATAGTTTTTTATTTTGTATAATAGAAAAATATTTAGAAAATAAAAAAAAATAAAATCAATATACATTTTTCATATATTATGTATGAAATTTCACAATAATTATATTTGAATTATAAATAAGTATAACAGTTAATATTAATGTGTTATATAACGTTAACATAATATGCAGCAGAACGTTTTATTGCGAATAATTAAATGTTAAAAATATACAAAAAGTCAAAAAAACAAAAATAGTATACAAATTTTTTAAGATAAATGTAATAACCGAAAGCTTTCAGTGTTCATGTCATGCTAAATTTAAATCAAAAAATAATGAAATTAAAAGAAAAAAACCAATCATGAATTTTAGTTTAAAAAAATTAATACAATAAAAAAGACATAAAAAATTAAAAATAGTGTTAAATAAAGTGGCCAAAAAATATTTTATTGACTGTGTGTGTGCTATATTGTTTAATTATAATTCAGCAATATCAAAAATTATAATAGACGTCTAATTGAAAATTAAATGACAAATGCAAATAAATTCTAAATATAAATTATAGCGCATAAAATATATTGGGAGTAAAATATTAGATTTATCATCGTATAACAATTATATTACACAATTTGAATTAAATAGAATCTTTTTTTTGTATTATGTATGTAATTGTCAAAACCCAACGCCTAACGGTGTCCGAAGTAAACAAAAACATTTGAAATTTACCACACTTGCTATTTCGAAAGTACGCGAAGAACATTAATAATTAACATTTTTAACATTAATAATTAGCATTCCGGAACGGAGGAAAAAATGATCGATTTGGCAATTGCAAGTGTAAGCAAAAAATAATAAAATTTTAATTCCTTCTTTTTTAATCCTTTACAAAATCACCCTTAATTTTCTTTTCCATACTTTATTTGTAGTTATATACATAAATAAATACACTTATATATCACAGCTGTTATCTTATGTATAGTCATATCATTAGAATAGTTAAAAAAATAAATTATTTTAATAAAACCTACATTATTTTAGCCATTTAATTATGAATAATAATTTTATCGCATCACGTTTAACTCTTCAATTTATTTAAACATTTCTATTTTTAATATTGTTATTTTATTTTTAATTAATTAAGTATTACAAAACAGCTGAAATATTAATTACGATTCTCCACATTAAAATGGAAATCCAACTCCAATTTTACGTATAGGCTTATTTTAATAATATCTTTATGCTTAACATGATTGCAAAAGAGATTGTATTTGAAACAAAAAAATGCCCTAAACTTTAATGTTAAACATTTCCGATACAAATTTGTTTTATATTCTTCTAAAGTACAAGGCAATTGCAGTACTACTATTAGCATTTCAAAACTGAATTATACGTAGCATACGGACGGCATTGCTACAATTGTGATCTTAGTTCTACTATGGTATTCGTATTTTATTCAAAAAAAAAAAAAAAATAAAATTATTTTATATTGCATAAATTCCAAGAGCATTATAAAAAAGACTCATAATTTGTATTGAATTGCACACTATAATTAAATAAAAGATTTCAAAGCCAACATCAATTTAATTATAAAATAAATTTGTGTACAATATTTTAATAAAATAATTAGTTTATTTTTTAAATTAATATAATAGAGAAAATCTGTTTAAGTATTTGATTAAGTAAATTATATCAAATTAATATACAAACAAGAAAAAAATGCATAAAATTGATTAGAATAAACAAATAAATAAGGATTTATCTTTAAAAAAGAGGAAAAATTGTGGATTAGACAAAAAAAAAATAAATGCATATTTTAAAACATAAACAAAATTTTTATTGTAAGCTTATGCTATATAAATTTCAGTTTTTGTTTATAAGATACGCTAGGATTCAAATTTATAATGATTCAAAAAAGTGATCTGCAATAATTTGTAATTTTCGCATTTTCGACTAAATCACGTTGCCATTTTATCATTAATTTTAAAAGTATTTGTTTGATTAACACTTGTAGTGTGTCATCTGCTTATCATACTCATAGTTTGTTGAGACAGTGAATTTGTAAGACAGCTTAAAGCTGCTTGTAATCAGAGTAATCTAAAAGTTTTTCCCTCATTTTCTTAATATTAATGCTGATTTTTAATTAAATATGCAACAAAATATCTAAAAAATTTTCTAAATTTTTCGTCCTAAAGATTTATTAAATTTTTATTTCGTACACAAATTATTTCTTTCATATAAATCAAATTTTTATTCCTTTTATCCCTTTGAAAATCCCTAGCAAAATAGCAAAAAAAAAAAAATTTTGTAGTTTACACAGCATAGAAGTAGTTTACAAATATGATAATGAAATGCAGTCTTGCGATCTTTAGAATTTGGAATTGCAATTAAATAGTAAAACTTAGGCGGACAATAAGAGTTTATTTCAGCACAAAATTTAATAATTATACATGAATTTTTAAATTTTTTTCTATCGTGCGTTTTATTATAAAAAAACATTATAAACTACGTACTTTTTAATGTAAATTTATTTTACAATTATACTAATATATATATAAATCAATATCTTAAATTTAATTTTCTCGAACTTTCAATAATTTGTCCCAAAATTTCGCGTCTTCAACTCTAAATGAATCTCTTAACTCTACAATATCACCAAAATTTCTATATGAACAAATTTTGTTCTGTTTAAGTTTTGAAATCATTTCTTCTTGAGTGCATACATCGAAATTTTCCATTGGTTCATCTGTGATAAATTTTATAATATAGTCAAAAAATGGAGAATTGTCAATGCTATCATTTGTTTTTAAATTAAATTTCTTTGTTTTAAAATAAAATAGTTCTAAAAGATCGTCTCCATGAACGGGTCCTACAACGATAAGACATATACACATAAACATAAAATTTAAATATTTTAAAGATTATTTAAAGTACTAACCACTGGTGGAGGAATCTATATAATCGGATGTATAAACTTTTGAAAAGGAAGCAGAAACTTTTTTATCAAATTTGTATAATATCAAAGATTTATCACTGAACTCCAATAAATCCAAAACTGCATCATAAAATGGGTACATAAAAGCTCGATCGCTTACTACCTAAATTTGAATTGATTAAATAAAGAACAGATTAGACAGAACTAATAACAATTATTCAAAATTTACCTTTTCAAAATTATTAAACGTCATATTATTCAAATTTCGTTCACCCTTTAAATAATAATCAATTATTTTCCCAAGAACATCGTCATTATTTTCAACGGCAAGTAATACAGCCAAATTATCATTGAAATCTGTGTTGAATCTCTTAATTTCTGTATCGTTATTCCTCATTGACATAGTTCTTACGGAACCGTCATTTTCCAAAATGCCGGTTAAAATTGGAACATAATAATATTTACCAGTTTTTGAAAGTTCTTTTGGATGTTTTGTTATAAAAGCAGTTTTACTTTCTGGATTCTCTAAAACAATTTTAAAAACAACTACTGGATCAATTCCGTTTGTATGAAAATAGTCAGCAGCTTGAATTAGGGTTTCCGCATCAATTTCTTTTAATTTTTTCACTACTTCAAAGGTACTTAATTGACTCGCGTTCTTAATTCCGCAGTACTCAGCTAAGTGATAAACTTGCTTAGCTGGATTAACTGTAGGTTCATTATAAGGTGCAATAGCAGTACCACTCAACAAAATCATTCTATGGAAAAGCCCTGAAAATTTTAATAATTAAAAATAATAATTAATAATTTTATTAATTAAAAAAAATTGCCAAATACCTTTAGTTTGGGGATTCATTAATTGTAACTGAGCAGATGCGGCTCCAGCACCATGACCAACTAGTGTTATTTTTTCAGGATTACCATGAAAATATTGTATGTACTTATGAATGAATTGCAAAGCACCTAATTGATCTTTAAAACCTTGATTGCCTGGTGCTGCTGTATCATTAGTCGAAAAAAATCCTAAAATGCATTTTAATACATATTAAAAATTGTGTTTTCAATAAATCACTTCAAATAAGCTTTACCTAGGAGACCTAAACGATACTGAAAGGTAACTAAAATAACTTTTTGCGTTTTCATTAACTTTTCTGGTCCATAAACGTCTGGGTGAGCGCTTCCCGCAAAAAATCCGCCTCCATGAATAAATATCATTACGGGCAACAAATCTTGTGCATTAGAAACCTTTTTCAGATTAAAAATTATCAATTTTATGACTGATGAAATATTTTCAATTCAAATAAATAGCTTACCATTGGTCTATAAATATTCAAATAAAGACAATCTTCTTTCCCAGAAACCAAACAATTTTTACCAAGGAAGATGTTCTTTTGAATACATTTGGATTTAGGTTCAAATGCTTTAAGACGGTTATTCCAAGGTTTTACGGGTAAAAAATCCTAAAACAGAAAAAAAAATCCTAAGTGTCATAATTTACATTACTTATTCGTACAAACTTTATACGAATGCGTTAATCTTATGAAATGTTTTGAGTATATAATCCATACGAACCTTAAATCGATTATCACCTGTTGGAGATTCACCATATGGTATACCATAAAATGCTTCATATTTAAAATTTTTTAAAGTTTGTTCCACTTTTCCTACAACAGAACCTAAATTTGGCAATTTAATTTCTTTTGTTTTCTGCAATTCAGCAAGGGAGCCCCTTAAGCAAAGCAGTATTAAAATATTGATCGTGAATGTCATATTTTTTCTTAATATTATTCTGCTCTCCTACAATTTCAAAAATTAACTAAAAATTTATTTAAACTTCGACGACTTAAATAGTACTTAAAGATCATTAAAAATTTAACAGATGGTGTACTAGCAAATAAATAATAAAATTGGTTTAAATTTCTTTGAATACGATGGGTAAGTACTTATTTTAAAGTTAATTAGTTACAATTTACATTTTCTTAATATGAGCATTTAAATACAATATTTTTAGGTAAAAATATCTTTCTTATTTGTGTGAAATAGCCTTTTTGTACCTGCCTAAAATATATATATATATAAAGGTAAAATTACGATGAGTGAATCATTGTCTTAGATTTATAAAATTTTAAAAGCATAAGCAATAAGTCAATAAAAGAACTAATACAAAAAACACGTGTAAACATTAAAAAGGTATACATTCTATTTCCTTACCTATGTTTCGGTCATAAAGTGACTTATGATGTACAAAAAAGCGGTATTCTTTAGTCTACATAAATAGTTCTAATCTGTAGTTTATTTTCTTAATGGCACGTGCGTTGAGTTTATGGAAGTTCTCGTTCATAAAATAAAAATAAATCTGGAATCGAATTTAATAAATTTCAAATAAAACAAAAATTTCAATTTTATATCTAATACTTAAAAACATAAAAAATCATCATTTTTCTTTATTGTAAATTTAAGGATCATTTGTACAAAAACTATTCGAAAATTTTACTGATTTTTTTTACTTTAGATCTTTGAGATACAAAATGCTTCTTAACATACTACGAGTCGATCTTATATTAAAACTAACACAGCATAAAAATTGGTATTAAAAAAAATAATTAAATTATTAAATAGCCTTATAATGTAAGCCATTGTTTAATCGTATAAAATTTCCTTTTTTCTCTTTGGTTTATAAGGCAAAACCTCAAGTTAATGTTATTGTTTTCTTACAGGAATTTTTTTTATATTGGAGAAAGACTTTTGCGTTCTGATTCACTTAAATCTGGATGCCAGATATCTACTATTAAAACTAATCTAGGACTGGTTCCATTATGCCAGACTTCATGTTCGAAACTATCATCAAAAATTAAAAATTTTCCTTCCTCCCACGTTCTAAAATACAAAAGAATAGTTTTATGTTAAAAATTTAAATAAGTAGTTTTAACTTAAAGTAATATTTACTTTAAATCCTTAGCTACACGAATTTTGGTACCACTTGGCACTTTTAAGCCTAAATGAGCTCTAAGCCTACAATTTGTTGGACCGCAATGAGGCCAAACGTGTGTCCCTTCATCCATAATACTAAACTTAGTTTGACCACGTCTACAATATCTTGCTGGTGGAAATGTTTCTATCAATGCACATGTTACACGAGCTTTTTCGCAATTTTTTATTTTTTTTATTCCTTGAGCATATAGCTCAAACTGCTTCCAATCACCTTTATCTTTCAAATTTTCAGCTTCATCTATAAAATATTTTTTTTCATTCAATGCATTAATTCCTTCTTCACGTATTTGCCTCCAATTCCTTTCTAACATTGAGAAAAAGTCCTGATAATCATTTGGAAATTCCTTTTTCAACCAAAATGGTTTAGCCCTTAAATTATTTACATTATATAGAGATCTTTGATATTCCGATGGAAATAATTTTCTTTTAGCACCTTTTCTAAATACTTCCATAGCTTCATCAGAACGATTTAAACGTTGCAATGCTTCGCCCAAATTAAAATAAAAGCGCCCATCTTGTGTTCCATTCTGATTAGAATTGATGCCATCTTTCAAATAATTCACAGCATTTTCCAAATCGCGATCCAAATTTTTTAATACAAACCCGTAATGAACTTTTGCAAATCCATCATTCGGCCATTTCATTAAAGTATTATGAAGTACAATTTTTGCCTCTCGGAGTCTGTAATAAAATTTTAAATAATAAAATATTTAATAAAAAATAAATTACAACCCTTTTTGAATAAGAAAATTTTAAGCTTCGTAAAAACTTACTGATTGTTCAATAAATATGTGACTGCTAACTCATTTTGTAATTTTAAATCATTTTGAAAACGATTAATCAAATTTTCGTGAATCGCTACAGCTTGGGAAACAAGTCCTACATAAAAAAAATGTTAAATTTAAATTTAATTGTTGCAGCTTAATGTTAAATATAAACCTTTACCTAAAAATCTCATCCTTTCTATACAACGTTCAGCTGTTTTACGATATGTTACGTCATCTTTTATATCATCCCCAAAAGCCAAATATTTTTTGTACGCAAAAATAGCATCTTTTAATTTGCTATTACTTTTCTGCTGTTCTGATAGTTTATCTAATGCAACTGCCTTGCCAAGAAACGCTCCATAAGAATCAGGATTTTTCAGGATTAAGGATTCATAAATTTTTAAAGCGTTATCAATATTCTTTTTTAAGAATATTTAAGAGAATAAAATTAGTAAAGCAAAAAAAATATTTTGCACACAATTTTTTTTTATTTTTAATTAAGGTAAATTCAATATATTTATATGAAATTCAAAATAGACAGGAATTTTATCAATGTTATTGGATTTATTTTGGAAATAGTATTTTGAAAATTAAACAATGGCAAACCATCATAACATTTAACAATAATTTTTACGAAAAAAAGGATATACGGAGCACACACAAGAAAACATTAGAAATGAAAAAAAAAAACAAAACTGTTAGTGTCAAATTCTTACACTTACTAAACTAATATTGAAACTATTAAGTTATTTATAATGTTAGCAAAATAGAAAAAATAAAGTGTAATTAACTAGAAATTTTTAAGATCATCGGTTCTTCATTTGGATGTACGTCAGAATCACTTTAAACACAATGTAAAAAAATAAAGTATAGCGAAACCGACGTAAAAAGCTCAACTAAAAAGCAATACTAGTCAAAATCCATCTAGAACCTAAATTTAAAAATGTTGACTAAATTAAGTAAAATATTCAAAATATTTGTCTGTTTTACAATATGACCTAATTTCTAATTAATTGTCGTGTTATTACAATAAACCTGTTAAAATTTTTAGGCTACATTATGCACAATGTCTTGATGGGCTTCTCTGATTTATTAAAGCCGAGCTTTAAATACTCTAGCACAATTAAACCTTTTAGTAATTTGACAGTATTTACAATTTAATTTGTTAATTTAATAAAAACAACAAAATAATCATATTTTTAGCTTAATTCTAATACTACAAGAAAAAAAGCAAAAAAGAAATTTTAAAATCAATTTCTTAATTTTTTGAAAATTGAAAATGTAACTTGTGGGAATAGTTCTCATTTCAATTGCAATAAAAATTGATTTTACAGTTTCTTTTTTTAGTTTATCAGATTATATTATATGTCAAAGTCTTTTTAAATTGTAATTTTAAATTTAATATTTTTCTTTAACTTAAATTTTCTTAAATTTTAAATAACTTTCAAAAATATTTTCCACAAAAAAAAAATTGAAAATGCAACCAAGATCAACAAATCAATTAAAATTTACTACATTTTCAAACTTTTATATATTCATTTTTATTATTTTATTAATTTAATGTTAACTTAAAAAAATTAAAAATAAAATAAATCATAAAAAAAATTATTAAGCAGGGGAAACTAAAATTTTAATTATTGGAAATCAAATTCCTAATACATAAAAAAAGAATAAAAACATAATGAAAAATAAAATTAAAAATATTATTTTAATAAATTCATTTAAATCTGATTCTTTTTTAAATAATCAAAAATTTAAAAATATTTCTTCCTAATTATATAAACAAATTTTTGAGCAGATCTAAAACTAGTCAGCTTAAATAAAATCACTTAATTCGTGCGCGTCAGTGCATTTGCTGTTTATTTTTCAAATTTAAAATAAAGAGAAAAATATTTAAATAGATCAAGAATACATTAATTTCATTATCGAGGACGAAATGTAATATTTAAAGCAAAAAATTTTCATTTGAATTGAAAAAAGCAAATTAAAATGATTTTATATAACCTATTCCATCAAATATATTTAAAAAATACCTCATTTCAGTCGATAAGAACATTTATTAGTATAGAATCAGATTTCAAAACCTATGCTTAATTATTGACTAAATATAAGAAGACTACAACAATACTCTAGAGTTTAAAAGTAAAATAAATTTCAAAATACGAAATAAATATAACTATGTATTATCAATATTTCTCAAATAAATTAAGATTAAGAATATTCAGAATGAATAAATTTAAAAATATATGTATATTCTAAAATAATAATAATATTTTAGAAGTAAAATCTTAAATCCTGTAATTTACATTTTAAGAATTAAAGAAATAATACCGAAGATTAAAAAAATATAATAAATATTAGACTAAATTACTTACATCTTGGAGCATATGTTGGTTTGCTCTTCGCAATTGCTCTTCTATATATTCATCTTCTGTTTCGAACGCTTGTGGACCTCCACCTGAACGGGGTTTTATTTCTAAAAACATATTAAAAATAATTTAAAATTTATTTTTTGTCAAATCCAAAATATTTTGAATAAAAATACGTCTTAAATAATTTGTTCGACATATGAATTTTCAAGTTTTTCAAGTTTAACCATTATATAAAAAACTAAATTAATGACCTATATATGCATGTGCAAAGTCACGATTTAGTATTGAATACCAATTTTTACCTAATTTATTTATTTAAATACTAGTATATTAATGGAAAAAGTGTTTTGCTTTACTTGTCCAAGATTTATCAATTTCAATGTTTTCTTCTTCACTATCATAGACTTCTGATCTATCTGGTAATTTTCCATATTTTTGTTCTAAACGTTCCATTAAATCATCATCATCAACTTCAGATAGTTCTTCTTCTTCGGATCCCAATTCTTCCTCATATGCTTCTTCTTCATCTAACGCTTCTCCTACACCATGTTCTTCTTCACCTTCATCAAATTTATCTTCATAATTCGTTGAGTGTTCTTTCTTAACATTTGGTAGAGAAACCCCTTTATCTGCTTCGGTTTGTTTTCTGGTCTCGTTTTGCGAGGTTGATTGAACCGATTTCCTTTCTACATCCTCTTTTACTGCATCTTTTATTTTATCTTTACTAGCAAATGATTCGGCAATTATAGGTTCTGCTTTCGGTTTAAACATTGCGTTTAGTTCTTCGAATGTTTCTGGTCGATAAGATGTTTTTTTTTCTTCTGGTTCATCAACTTCTTCAACCTCATCAATTTCTTCGACCTCTTCCTCTATTTCTTCTTCAATCACTTCCTCTTCTAATTCTTCTACAATTTCATCATCCTCTAGCATTTCGGGTGACGCCACTGTTAATCTTCGTTTCATTAGAACATCTTCAGGTAAATCATCCTCTGGTGCCTTAGATTCTTTTATAAATTAATTAAAATTATGATTCACTTAAAATACAAAATTTTTCTAAATTTTGGATTTTATACAGATGTCTTTTACATATTAATAATATGAAATTTCAATGTGTTGCTTCAAATTATGTCATAAAATTAGAAATAACCTTAATTATTATCACGAATATTTCAAATGTAAAATTGGAGTCCTAAATTCACCACATTGAAATTAAAAACATTAAAAAACCGAATTATTTAGAGATTTCGTACGTGAATTTCTTGGAGAAATTACTTATGTATACATAATGTATGCATAACATTTAGCAAAATTTTACATATTTAAAATCTTTCAAACACATCTGACATCTGTATAAGATATTTGAAAATTAGTACAAAATAATATTTATACAAAATTATTAAATTTGAGCAGTTTTAATTATAAAAAAGATAATAAATACATAAAAATCAAAACATTTTAAATCAAATTATAATATAAGCTATAATACATGTATTAATATTAATCTCATTTTAAGATTAGGTAATTTTACTCTGCTTTCGTTAAGAAAGTGCAACATAAAAATTAAATTTATTAAATTTGTTTTTACGTTATCATGCTTTAGCGCGTGCAAAAACATAAAATTATTTGTTTCGAAAAATAAAATATATTACAACAGTTAAATAAAAACTTATAATTTTCAAATAAAGCGAATTCAAATAATAAATTAAAAAATTTACAAAATTATCAAAAATCAAAATGATGCCACTACAACAAATTTTTTTTAGACGACACAATAGATCAAAAACAAAATAAAAATTTATGATCATCATTAAATCAAAATATTTATAATAATTATAGAAATAAAAACAAAACAAAAACCACGTCTTTAACAACTCACTCGCTTTATCATCGACATTCCCATTTTTAATCAATACTACACGAGCTACTATGGCTAAGGCAAACCCAACCAGAATTTTCACAGCAACTGCAAAATTTTTACATAATTTAAATATTATTTTGCACTTTCTTTTACATGATTTACTTTTGCTTTTTCATTTATAATAACATTTACTATGTGTAATACAATGTCGAATTTTTGTCATTGTCATTTTGTATACTTGACATATAAAAGAGAAAACATACACTTTTTCCATAAAAATTTGTTCCTTTCGAGTTATGTTATATAAATTTTTAAAATTAATTCTTCAAATTTAATCTTGTAAACTTCTTTGAATCAACATTTGAAATTTTTAAATATTGTAATTATTTTATTTAAAAAAAATTATAAAAATGATTTAAACCAGGTTCCGATAAATTATTCTATTTTTAAGATTTTAAGAATATGACTTACGTGGAGAAACATATGATTCTTCTTCAACTTCTGGCTCGACATCATCAGTTTCTTCTTGAATTTTTCTAGCTTTCTCTTGTAAAATTTTAATTTCTTCAGCGTCATTATCAACTACTTCAAAAGTGGTATCATCATCTTCCTACAACAAAACAAAATCTTCTAGATATAAATTGCTATTTAGTGTTTTACAATTTTGAAAAAACAACAAAATCTTTCTTGTAAATAAATGGATAATTACTAAACAATTTTTGCGAGTAATAATCAACTGAAAATACCTCTTCAAAAGGCTCATTCTCATCATTGCCATCTTCTTCTTGTTCATCAACATCAGTCTCTTTTGTTTCTTCAATTGCCTTTCCTTCAATGCTAACTTCAGCTTCTTGTGATGGAACTGCTCTTCGTACACGTGTAAAAATTGGTTTACTTTCTTCTTCGTCTTCTTCATCTTCTTGGTTTTCTTTAGTTACAACATCTTCCTGAGTAACATTATCTTTCTCTTCATCTTCATTTTCAGCGGTACCTTCATCCTCATCTTCATCTGCTTCTTCCTCATCTTCCTCTACATCCGCGGTATCATCGTCATGGTCCTCATCATCATGCTCATCATCCTCTTCATGTTCTACCAATTCTTCTTCAGGTTCAGAAACATCTTCTTCCTCTTCAAAAGGCTCATCATGCTCTTCATGTTCCTCAATTTCTACAAATTGATTTCCTTATTTGTTAGAAAAATCATAACCAATTTAAAATATACAAATACCATGGGCTACTACTTCATGAGGATCGTGATCATGTGATTCTCGATGTTCGTCTACCCATCCTTCAAAATATTCTGAATATCTCGATTCCGACAGAGGTGTATCCACTGAAATATAAAAATAAGAATCTTAAAATATATCTTAATCATTTAAACAAGAACATTTACAGTCTGCTAATCCTCTGTTTTCCATTATTATTAAACCAATTAGTCCAACTAATATAGCGAGTAATGAAAAGAAAAATATTTTAGCGCACCAATGCCCGCCAGTTCCATGGTCACTCTGAACGTGCAAGTGAACATCGTCTGTACCCATTTTAGTTGCATGCACTCCATGATGTATTCCTTCGTCTTCTTCTACGTAATATTATTGAAAGAATTTTATTTCAGTCACATGAAAATTTAAGAATTTAATATTTCTTTAAAAATTTCTAAGGAGGGAATAATTAATATTCGTGTAGTTTTAGTTAAACTTTAAAATATAAGCCACTTTATTAGTAAGATAATTTTAATAATTCTGTTATTGGAACTGGTTAGTTTCTAAGGTTCATTTACTACCTTCCGTTGATTGCAAACTTGCTTTACGTGTAAATGTTATTTCAGCCTCAGACTTGTGATCTATTGAATCTAGCAGAACATAAACATTTAACATAAATTAATTTTAGTATGTTAAAATTTTTTAATACAGTAAAATTGCAAAACTTATTAGCACATCAGTTACGTTTCAATAATGTACCTATAAAGCCTACCTATAGTAAAATGAAGTAACAAAAATACTTTTAAGTGAGCATAAATAATAAAGGATGCATAGACGCATTAAAGCTGCTCAAAATTATGAACGATCTTGGACATAATAGATTTTTTATATGTAAAGTGATTTCTTTAAACGCAAAATAAATAAACGCTTTATAACAGTTTTTTTTTTTGGTAACAAAGAGCTGTTTGTATTGCAGATGAGGTCGTATAAATTATACGATATTCTTTGTTTGAATGAGCAATTCGACTATACATATAATCACAATATTTCTTCTTTTGTTCTTGGCAATTTCCCAAATGAATTTTATTATTTACAGGAAAAACGCACTTAGTTTTTTTTGACATTAAATTGTACCTAATAAATTTATTTTATTTCTAAAAATAAAGGAAATATTTAATTATAACTTAAAAAATCAAAAGGGTCTAGGACACAAGAATATGTTAAAGTTTATTAACTTACAAAACAGTTCCGATTAATATTATTTCAAGCTAAAAATATTCATACATATGTATCCTATCTAACGTAATACACTTTCACCTTCACCGGCATTTCAGAGCTTTTTTGAAATAAAAAAAAATAACGAACTCAACATAATAGTATGTATATGCAATTTTGAGAATAGACCAGATCAGAAATATTGACAGAAAGTAAATTGCCGGCGAAATTCGAGGTCAAAGCCTTGTTACGAAATTTGTGAGAAAATAAACTTCTTGGTTTATTTTCCAATAAGACCGCCTAATAACTACCAACATTTTTTTCATTAATTAAGAAAATTTCAGCTATAAAAATAAAAATTTTAAAATACGGGCATGTACTCGTTAAAATTGAATATTTTACCATCTTCTTATTATAAACATGTTAAGCATGAAGCGCTTTAGTTTACTTTTATTTAAATAAATAGCTATTAACATTTTTTAAATTTTTCTATAACCAAAATTTTTTGTTTCTAAAAATAGAATTTCTTTCTGAGCAAAATAAGAACGTACCTCGTTTTCTTTTTTTATCTTTCCGTTTTCTTGGTTGAACGTCTCCTGACATTTTTGATTACTTCCTTAATTTTTTATTTTTTTTTTCAATAATATTCAAAACTTTATTAAAATTCTCAAAATATCACTTTCATTAGGACTAAATTTATTGATATATTCATTTACAAAAAATTTATTATTTGATTTATTTTTATTCCTTTTGTGGACTTTACCTTCTCGTAAAATTTCTCCTAATGAAAATGAACTGCTTTCTGATTGGTACTTTTCAAAATGACATTTAATTTTGTTAATTCTTAAATTTTTAACATTTGGAATTGACGCGGATTTTTGAATGGATTTTGAAATGAATTTCTTTCTGATTGGTACTTTTCAAAATGACATTTAAATTTTGTTAATTCTTAAATTTTTAACATTTGGAATTGACGCGGATTTTTGAAGTGAAATAGAATTGATTTCTTTTTTTTAGAAGCCGTGTACTTGGAACACAAAAAGCTCTAACTAAATACTTTTTGCTTTTTTCACATATTAAATTGCTATGTCCCAAGAATATTTTACATTACGTATTATTTAAATTAGCTTACAATTATACAGTTGTGATAAAATAAATCAGCTTTATCGCTCGTTTGTTTAGAAAATCGCGTTTTCAAAGCAATAGATGCATTCATAAGACAAAAAATCATAAAATAACTTATGCAAATTTTAAAACCTCGAGATCAAAAATTTTTAAATAAAAATTCTTTTAAATAATTGAAAAATTTTTTTAAGACAAAATCAAAGCATACGTTAAAATTAATACAACTTTACAACAAATTATTATAAAATTACAATTTCCACTTGAGCTTATTTTTAAAGTAACGAAGTTAAAATTTGAAGCGGAATCATAGAAGGACTTAATAATTTTGAAATAAAATTTTTTTGTTGTAAACTATTACTTGAAATTTTTTTAAATTAAATTTCAAATGCAAATTTCACAATACTTCAAAGAATAAACTCAATGCATACATGTGTAAACAAAGGCTTATTCACTAAACTTTTATGTTGGATGTTTGAAGGGACCTTCGACTACTGTCAATCAAATAATATAATTATTATTTTGGCGAGTGACATTGACAATTATATTTGACATTCTGATAATTTCTTTTTTCACAAATTTTCTGAAAAGATTTTTTTTTTTTGGAATTTTAAATGGTTAGATTTAATTAAAAAAATGTTGACTGATTACGAAGATGATTTTTTTTATGAGGAAGATAAAATGTAAGTATTTCAATTATGTTAATTAAATGAGATGTGTAAAAAAATAAGCCTACATTATGTATGTAGTAATCTAAGTATTGTAATAATTCTGCTTTAATAACTTTTTTATTATATGTATTTAAAATTTTATTTGAATTTTTTATTAGATCGTTATGTTTTTTTTTTACAAAAATTTGTTTCTTTAATAAATTTTGTTAATTATTAACTTTAAAATGGAATGTGACCATAGTCAACATTTACGTACGTATTGTAAAATGATGTGGCATCATTGCTGCATTATGATTTTTGAGAATATCTCGGGGAGCAAATTTTTAAAATTTAAACTTAAAATAATGAAAATATAGCATACTTAGCTAAATTTCAGCTCTAAACATACAAAACTTTTGCAATAAATTGAATACTAATTGAAAAATTGTTTCACACTTTTGTTTTGTTTATACATATTCAATATGTATCAAATATAATTATTTTAAAATATATTCAATATTAATTAAATAAAAGAAAATTCAGCAACATTGATAATGTTACCGAGAATGTAGTTTCAACAAAGGAAATGGAAAATCAGAGGTATGTGAAAGTAAAATAATTTTTAAACATATAGTGGGAACGCAGAAATATAATTAATTGGATGTATGCCTACAAAATTAAATTCAAAATTTAAATTAAAAAGAATCATTCTGTGTTTTCATTTAAGTACTGTCTCAAATGCTTAATTTGATTACTTAAACTATTCATTTTAATTATTATTATTATTATTATTAATTTCTATTTAATTTTTTTATTCATATCTACTTACTTTTAGTTATTGTGTTTAAAAAAAATTAGTTTTGCTTCTGCTTTTTAATTGAAATAACATTCTATCTAACTATTAATTTTTATTTGTTTTGAAATGCTCAATGCACACTACACACAATTCCCCCCATCTAGTACATCTAAAAATTCTTCAGAGCCTTTATTGCCTATAGAACCAACAGATAAATTTACCTTTTTAAATATTAACGAAAATGAAATAAATCAAAAAATTGGCAATGAAATAAAAGAAGAAATTGGTGTAACGGAAAATCCTCAACTTGAAGTTGAAGAATTCGGAGAATACGTTTATGCGGGATATTACTCACATGAAGATCGTAAAACAAATTATGCTTATCAAGAATTTGAAATGGAGAGATTGTAAGTCTTTGTTAGATCCGCTACATTTTTAAACCAATTAGCAAGCAATTTTTATTGGCTTACAAATTTATTATAGAGAAGAGTTATTATTCTTTTTGCTATTTTGTAATGAGTCAAAAAAAAAAAACTTACGTACACCTGCAATAGATGACTTCACCTATTATAGGAAATTAATAAATCATTCAAGCTGATTTTTAATTTTTTATTTGAACTGCACTTTGGTCTGCTATATATTTACGCATATATTTTGAATATTGACTATTACATATTTATATAGCTAGTGATTTTATGCTTCAAAAAGTTAGAGTTTACTACATTGTGTTGATTAAAATAAATTATAAAATTTTTTATAAAATATTTAACAGTTGTAAAAAATTTGCATTGAACATTGCTTATGTTCTTTTTTTGTTTTGCACTACACTCACTGACACAAATTTTTTATTTCAATTTTAAAAAATTAAAGCCTTCGTTTTATTTTATTAGTTTTTGATTAATTTGCCAACTAAATTTTACCAATGGTTAAAATATTTCATGGAAAATATCAATAAAGGTTAAAGTAAATATTAACTAAGGTAAAGCTACAATAGAATTAACCATGTTTATATGTTTATTGTAATAATATCATTTAAAATTAAATCATTGTTTTAATAAAACATTGTGTAAAAACAAAACTAACTAGTAGTGTCGCCATAACAAATAATTTAAAATTACTAATATTTATATTTTAAATACTAAAACTCATAGGGGCATGTTAATAACATCGGGAACAGTTCACATAAAAAAGGATCCCTCAAATTTAATTGGTATTAGTATAGGGGGTGGCGCGCCACTCTGTCCATGTTTATATATAGTCCAGGTAAGCTTTGGTATTAAATGAACATACCAACATAACATTATTTAGTGATAATATAACATGCAAAACCTATAAAAAATTTTCATAAATATTTATTTCAACTAAAAAAAAAATTTAAATTTTAGATATTCGATGGTACACCAGCCGCCTTAGAGGGATCTTTGCAAAGTGGAGATGAATTGATTTCCGTTAATGGTCACACAGTTAAAGGTAAAACAAAAGTAGAAGTTGCTAAAATGATAAAATCCGCTCCTGAAGAAGTTACAATAAATTACAACAAATTACATGTAAATACTGAACAAGGAAAATCACTAGATATTTACTTAAAAAAACTAAAACATCGCTTAGTTGATTCAATGTCCAGTAGCACTGCTGACACATTAGGTCTCTCGAGAGCAATATTATGCAATGATTCATTGGTAAAACGACTTCAAGAACTTGAGGCTACTGAAAATATGTATCGCGGTTTAGTTGATCATTGTAAAAGAGTTTTAAAAGCACACTACGATTTATTTCAAACATACCTTGCGTTTGGAAATACTTTTGCTTCAATTAGTGTCCATGAAACTCAACCAAGAGCTTCCGAAGCATTTCGCTTATTTGCCGAATTACATCGAAATATGGAAAAGGATGGGGTTAAAATGCTAAAGGCTGTTAAACCCGTTATAGGGGATTTAGGTACATATCTAAATAAAGCTATTCCGGATACAAAACTTACTGTAAAAAAGTACGCTGATGCAAAATTTACCTATTTATCGTATTGTTTAAAAGTTAAAGAAATGGACGATGAAGAACATAGCTATGCTGCTTTACAAGAGCCACTGTATCGTGTTGAAACTGGAAATTATGAATATCGTTTGATATTACGTTGCAGACAGGAGTCTAGAACAAAGTTTGCAAGATTAAGAAACGATGTTTTAGAAAAAATGGAACTCCTAGAAAATAAACATGCAACAGATTTAAGTCACCAACTGAAAAGGTTTATAGATGGACTAATACAATATCAAGAAGATGTATTGGAAAGATTAAACGCTCTTCCCACTTTATTTCCAATCGAAGTAGATTTATCTGAAACTGCTTTTCAATATAAAACCGGCCAGAAATTCCATACGGGTGATATAGATGATGATGATGATGATGAAGACGAAAATGATACATGCTCTGGTGTTGCGTCAGCAATAGAGGCTACAGAGCAAAATATGAAAAGTGATTTAACAGAATTAACAGCCTGTTCATCATCAATTATGAGTCCAACTTCAAGTTCCTGTTTAAAAACAGATACTGTATCAAGTTCTAGCATAGAAACATTGGTGTCTACAAATAAAAGTTGTTTGGATGATCTATTATCGGATTTTCAAGATATTAATTTAAATTCTTCAAACCCTCAAGACGAAGGAGCTGCCTCGTTATTAGCACAAGGAGATGTACATCATACTGAAGGGAAATTAGGAGAGGCTTTATTAATCGAATTAGGTTTAACAGAAATCAACTTAACATTGAGTAATGAGAAAGAAAAAGCAAATCAGAATAACGATATGCTTAAATTTGATTCTGTCGTAGATCTTCTACAATAATAAATAATTTATTTTTAAAAAGTATTTGTTAATTTATATAGTATTGTCGAATGATTCCTTTGTTCATTAGGTAGATTAATCTATGTATTTACAATAAATTTTGTTGTCGTGTTTTTTTTTTATGTATAATAAATGCTAAATGAAAAGGAAAATAGCTTTCTTAAATTTAACTAAATTTTTAAGAATTTTATAGAGCCAGAACAATTTTGCTATTGTTTGTTTTACACTGCAAGAGTTAAAAAAAAATAAGCAAAAAAAGTTAAATATTGTAAAATAACAAACGCTTAAGAAGTAGTTGAAAAATAAAAGAGACCAATATTTTGTTAAAACTTGTATATATTATGTATATTGCATTATAATGTGCATTTTTTTCAACATATGCATATTTAACATTATGTATACAGCTTTATTTAAAGGTTACATACATAGTAATATATAGATATATATATATATATATAATACCGTTGGTTTACAATAACGTATAATTCAGATATTAAAATCTTTAAATATAATATCATTTATGAAACAGCCATTAATTTAAGTGCAGTCTACTTTCATTCATTTAAGTGCAAACATGAAACAGTTACTTATACTTAGTTCACATTTTTCAATCTAAATTTAAGTTTGTACCCAAACTGCCTAATTGGAAAACTAATTGGTTATTCCGAAATTTCAATCATTTCATTAATATATCTTTCATATTTAATTTAGTTTTTTTCTTGTTTTTGCTTTAAACACAAAGAAATTTAAAATTTTCACAATCATTTTTCCTGTGCAACTTTTCCTCCTATTTTTGAGAAGGGTTTTTAAAATTAACCGCACTCTATTTAAGTTTAAAAATATAAATTCGCAAACAAAACAGAACCTTTAAGCGCATCGACTTTAACTCTTACTTTGATGGATAATCCGAGACTGGAACGAAGAAAAACCCCTAGTTCCTTCAACTATTGTTTGAGAATAATATGACACGCAAATTTCATACATTTTTTCATCCAATACTTTTTTAGGCATAAACAGTAAATTTTATTCTTCCACATGTTTTAATAAAAATGCGTAAAACTAATTTAATAATGCAGTTACATAAAATATGCGTGCATATGAAATTAAGCATTCACTTTATCTTTTGAGAAAAACAATAAAAGCCGCACATAAATATCAAATGCCCATTAAAATTTCTCTTTTATTATGTTTTCATTCTCTACATTTTTGATATATTATTCTCAATCGGCGATTCAACATGCTAGATTGAAATTTAGGAACAATGTTTTTCTCATGAAAATAAAAAAAAAAAACAAAATAATAACAATAAGCAAAATTTAAGGCACGATATTGTAATAAAATCTTGTACTATTTATCAAATTATTGATTAAATAATATATTGAAAAAAAAATAATGATTTCTATGCAACTCAATGCATACTCATATAATTTAATATAATTAAATAACTAAGGAGTCATAATTTTATTTACTTCTTCCGCTATCGTATTGAAACCATTGGAAAAATCCAGATAAAATATTAAATTTTATTAAAATTCGTGCCTTCAATTATGAAAGTAAAAACTAAAATTGAAAAATCATTTAAATTTTACTTGTTTTTATAAATTTATTTTAAATAAAAAAATTTGTATACAAAAGAATATTGAAAATAATTCTAAATATAATTTATTCTGGTTGTCCTATGGACAGGGAAAGTTTTCATAAATTTATTCCTTAACAAAATAAGCAAATTTTTTTTGTAGTTTCATTTCATTTTTTTTAATAAAATTAAAAACTTAAATATATTTTATTTTAGATTTTTTTTTACCTTACTTAATGAATAATAATATTTTATCATATCAAAATTAATTTAACCACAATTCTTTCATTTAACATAAAATAAAAAAATGTTCTTAAAATAGATGCATATTAACAACAACAAAAAAAGCAGTAATTGAAATCAATACGAAAGAAAATTTCTCTTTTGAATAAACACCATTTTATAATGAAATAAAGAAAATTCATAACATTAATTAATTAAAAATTATATGAAAAATTACACCAAATCATGTTCTATAAATTATTCTCATCATAAAAGTATTAGTAACATATTCTAAAATATTTATTAATTCAATGCAATATTCTAGGGGCTGAATAAATTGGATATTGGTTATATTTTTCAGAATCCTTGTAACTTCTTACAAAACTCATTTCAGAGGATCTTTAAATAACTTCATGAAAAAAATCTCATCACATTCCCATTTAGTACTCAAAAGTTCTTTTACGTTTCAATATTTTTAAGATTGAAAAGGAAATTTTTTTTTAATTTCTAAAACTTTTCCTTTTAAAATTTAAACATGCAATTTTTTAAATGATGATTTTTGTAAATTTTTCAAGCTACAGTGTAAATTAATAGTAATAATAATAATATTGTTTCTCTACATTCTTAGTTATGTTACATATAACAATTACGTTATTTTATATTTGTGTTATTTTCAGTTTTTAGCATATAATATATATATATAAATATATATTTAATTATATTCTGGCATGACATAGGAAATATCGTCCCATGGATGACGATATAATCCTTGTTTTAAGCGTTTTTGATCCATGAAATGTCCAATGAAACCTATACTACGCCCTAAAACAAATAATGAATTGATTGCTCCAATATTTATATACTCTTGAGCTTCTTCACTAAAATTACAAAAATAAAATTTCTTAATTCTTCTGGATTACATAATAAATATAAAATATATTTGTTACCTAGTGAATGAACCACAATTCCTTAACATATCAACAAATGATGTAGCAATAACACCATCAACGTTCAAAATTAAATTGGGTTTTTTACTTGTTGTAATTTTTTCAACTTCTAAAGCATATTCAAGCAATGGACATGAGGGAAAATTTGCTAAAACAAATTCTTTAATGATTTTGACACGTACATCTGGATTATTAATTGATTTAACACGATGTCCAATACCCATGATTAATTGTCCCTTTTTACGCATTTGATTAACAAATTCCATTGGATGCAAATTTGAATCATAGGCTTCTGAGAATTGCCTTGCAGCTCCATCTAATGCTCCACCAAAACGATCACCAATTGTCAATAAACCACTTACCAAAGATGAAACTAAATCTTTGCCAGCTCTAGCACAAACTATGGTGTTATGGGCACCAGATACCGCTGGACCATGATCAGCGGTTACCATCAAACACATTTCAAAGAACTTGCATACGTACGGTGGTAAACATCTTTGGAACCATAATAATGAAACAACTCCACCAATTCCAACATCTTTTTTCAATACATCGCTGATTGGCATACCAGCGTATAAAAGCTCTTGCCCACGTTCATCACAAATTGATGTCATAAATGATGCTGGTTTCCTTATTAGACCTAATTCACGTGCCCAAGAATAATCCATAGGTACAGTTGGTGGAGGAACTTCCTCGGCTGGTACAATTCTACCACTTTTGACTAGTTCTTGATATACTGACCCAATTAAATCACCTAACGAATCAAAAGTGTCAGGGACATAAGCGCCAGCTTCCTTCAATGCTTTATTCTTAGCTGTTGCGGTTTCTCTGTCAGAATTTGCGCACGATCCAGCATGGCCAAATTGAACTTCAGCTGAGAACATTCCAGAACATGTACCGATGCACCATGCTACTAATGGCTTATTAATTTTTCCGCTCTTTAATGCGGCACAAACTTCATATTCTTCAGTACCGCCAACTTCTCCTAATAGCACAATTAATTTTGCATCTGGATCAGCTTGATAACGCATAATATGATCCATAAAAGTTGTACCAGGATACCGATCACCACCAATTGCAACACCTTCAAATACACCATCAGTAGCTTTTGAAACGATATTATTCAATTCATTTGACATTCCACCAGACCGCGATACGTATGCTACACTACCTGGTCGGTATAATTTTGAGTGCAATATATTATCTAGCATACCACCAGTATTGCCTATTTTAAAGCAACCTGGCTTAACACCGCCAACAGTAGCTGGACCAATAATTGATACACCCTTTTTGTTTGCAGCAACAATCATTTTTCTTGTCATATTCTCAGGGATTCCCTCTGCTATGATAGCAACAGTTCTTATTTGCTTATATTCCAACACCTCCATTGTTGATTCATAAGCAGACCGCAATGAAGCAAAATTTACCATTACATCAGCTTCCTTATGTTTTTCAACAGCATCAGACATTTTTTTATAAACTGGTATTAAAATTTCTTTATGACCCCAATAATATTTTTGCTTATGATCACCAGTAAATGGATACACCATAGCAACAACAGATGGTTCTTCTCTCCTAAAAAAACAAATAAATTAAAAATAAAACTAAACTTTTTAAAACTTTTGCTTTAAAACTGAATATTTTATAAAAAAAATTCTTTCAATGTAAAAAGAAGGTGTTTATTTCACAATATTTATGAATTTTATTTCCTCTGATAATTGTGCCGACACGTTTGTTTTCTTCTAGCATTATTAAAACTTCATCAAGGTTTACTTTAAAGTCAAATGGTGTCTTAATAATGCACTAGATAAATTTGAAAACAAATGTTGAAAATTTCGTAACTACAAAATAAATATTAAAAATAAGCGAAACATTTGATTTAGTTCTTGAAAAGGACCGCGAATTCAATAAATCGCTAATATAAGAATAAGAATAAAAATCAATTTTAATTGTTCCACATTTGAATTCAGTGAACAAATAATTAATGCCAAAAGAAATTGAAAAAATTTAACTCCTAATTGTCGTAGTTTTTTACTGTTTGTACTACAAAATTTCGAGTTTCTTACCTGCAAATGAAATCAAAATCCAACATTGACTGAACAGCTCTTGTTTGCATACCCCAAACAATTGCCTTTGTTGAATTAGTAAACATACGTTGTGCATTTTCCAAAGTACCATCATGTTTTACATATTCAAAACCATCAGCTGCAAGAGGAGGTAATTTAATTTGCTGTGTTGCAGTTACTGTTGTTGTACCTATTAGTTTTTTTTCAACCATTTTCAAGCATGTTGTTATGAATGTTTTTTGTATGTTTGTTAAATGGTCAAAAAATTTTTATTGACATACATTAATTACAAAACAAAAACATAAAACAAAATGCAACGATGCAACGTATTGTTTTGCAAAACGAGCGTTTAATTTCACACAGGATGATGAGTTAAAATAGCACATTTTAAAATATCAATATAAATTGGAAATCCAATATTATTCGCGTAATGCAGCAAGTGAAAAAAAAAATAAAAAAAAAAAGAGAAATGGGAAAAATGAAAATTTTTAATGGAAATGATTAAATTGCTTTATTAATTATTAAAAAAAAAAATGTATATTTTCTGTTCAATGTTTGTGTGCTCTTTTTCATTTTACTCTTAAAATTTAACATGAAATCAAATGAATTGAGGAGTCATGCAAAATTAAAAACTAAATAATTTATAAAAGAATGAGACTTAAAATTTCATATGCAAAAATTTAAATTTTGTGCTGAATGACAAGTTTGTTTCAATAATGGTTTGTTGTTATTTAAATTATCTTTTAATTTTTTTTTTTTGATATTTTCTAACAATTTTAACATAATTATACCAATAATACAAAATCAGCATTCGTTCATTAAAATACGCATTTCAACTCACCAAAATTTTTTATCTTTATAATTGTAAAACAAATTTTGGCTAAAATCAAAAAATAAGCTAAATAACTATCATTAATAATAAAACCAAACCACAACAAAAACTTAATTCAATCTAAAATCAATCAACTAAATAAAATCAACACAAACATTGTTACGTTATACCTAAAACTTATTTTTTTTAGCTTTTAATTCGTAGAAAGTAAGGTTGCTAACCGTTCTACTCACCATTATTGAAATTATCATTATTATCATTACTTTTATGATGTTTTTGTTGTTCTTGTTGCTGTCCACTGGGTAATAAGAAATTTGCTGTGGAAAAATCAACATTCAATGTTGATGGAATTGGACGATTTCCCAATGCCATTCCACAAATAGCTGTCATATGTGTTTCAGGTCCAAATACATGTAATGGAATACCCAATGTACTACCGAATTCTCTCATTCTACGCAATCCCTCTTGATAATTGGGGCCAGCTCTACGAACAAATATCGATACATTATGTTCAATGAGTTTTGGTTGAAATTCTCGCAAAGCTGTTATTATTCCTAAAAATATTTTAAATTTGAATTGTTAAAAGTTATTTATTTTATTTATTTATTTATACTTTATTCTCTATATTTTTACAAAATTTGCTTAAACTAAGAGAATAAGAAAAAAAAAAGGTTACAAAACTAGTTAAATAATTCGAAATTTACCTTTAAATGTTGCTGCAACATTTGTAAAATTAGCAATACCGCCACCAACAATTAAAATTTTTCCTTTTGGATGCTTTGGTGATGATGTCATTAAATTTAATAGCGTTTTTGCATATTCATAAGTTTGCTGTTCAGATGGTGCACCACTATATTCACCGTAATTCGCTAATTCACTAGCTCCACCCAAATCACAAATTGTATCAGAATAAATAACACTTGCACCACCGCCTGCTACCATTGTCCAAATTCTTCCATTACGGTTTAAAATTGTTAACTAAAATGATTATTTAAAAAATAATTTCATTAATAATTAAAAGAATTTTTGTAAATAAATGACATATACTTTTAAAGATGCTCCACTTTTTGCGTCTAAATCAGCTATATAAGCTTCTTCTGGATATGCATCACGTCCGAATGGTGGTGGATAATCAATATCACCCCATTTTGGGCGACACACAAAATCAGCTGTTGAATCTAATTTTGCAGCTAAATCTAATATATAAATTGAATCCTTTGTAACAACTAACGGATTTATTTCCAAATACGTAAAATATAATTCAACATAACATTGATATAATGAAAATATAAAATTCGCAATTCTTTGCTTTTTATCAGCTGATACATTTTTAAGTAAAGCATTAGTAATTTCTTCAACTGTGGTATTATGATTTACAGGTACATCTAATTTTAATGCTTTTGCATCAACATCACCGATATCAACACCACCTTGATGATGAAATAGAATTGTATCAGCTGATCGATGTGAATAAATGCAGACATAAGCTTCTTCTTCCTTAAAAAATTGCAAAAAAAATGTAAAATTTAATACGGTAAAAAAATGTTTTTATAAATAAAATTTTCTTACATCCTTATGAGGAATGAATGGTTCAATAATAAAATTACGTAATTTTCCACATGCAGCACCAATTTGTTGATCTTTGTTCATACGATCATTAACCCATTTTTGAACTTCAGGAAAACTTTTATTTACAGCAATTAGACCAAGCTTTCCGCGGCGCTTAATCAATTGATCTGGTTTAACAACTAAAGGCTGGAAACAAAAAATTATACATTGATAAAAATTAGTGTTTTAAAAATTCTTAAAATAAAAATTATGAGAAGTTTATTTGGAAACCCAAGAACATTAAAAATAAAGGTTTGCAAGCACAAAGTCTAGGACAAATTGACAGAAAAATTACAATGAACTTGAGATTTTATTTTATAATTCATGCAACTATATTTTTCATTTCAATGTACAATGCATACTAGGCATGTGTGCCATATGAACATATACGTAAAAACTTACGTAAAATTAGTTCAAAGTTCGAAATTTGAAAACTTTTTGGTAAATAAAAAAAAAACAATCAATTTTTATAATTTTAATTATTTTCAGAAACAATCAAATTAATGAAAACTAATTAAATTTCTCACTTATAACCAATCGGCCATAACAAGTTTTATTGTAAAAGATCTTTATTCTTATTAAGCCGCGGAACAAAGTGAGAGCACACGAATTCAATCAAATTTAGATTCAATTTTAACACGTACAAAGAAAGTGGAAATTTGTAAACTTTATTTGTATTATAAATAACAATTCCGTATCTATTTTTAGATTATTTTCATTATATAAATTTAATTTTTATTTTATGAAAAATTATTTGTATCGCAGCGCTTCCAGAAAAGTTTAATTATAAATGCATTGAATTTTCAACTTCCAGAAGTTTTTGAAATCAAACAAGAGAGCCTTTAACATTTTGCGAATATGAAAATTTTTATTAATATAGAAAAGGAATGAATTAATAGATTTACACAGATGAATAATTCCAATAATAACAATACACTCAAATATCAGCATTAATTTTATTAATTATTTAATTGAATGCATTTTTACTCACAGTAGTAGAACATTTCGAATTAAAAATTTTATATCAAGGTTTAAATAAATTAAAATAAAAATCTTAATTCATAAATTTTTTTTAAAATATATTTATGAAAATAATTTTAAATTATCACTGAAATCAAATTCTTTTACTAAAATGTACCTACTTGGAATTTGAATTAATCACGATTTAAAATTCACGATTGTTATCACTACATAAATAATGGTCTAATGCAGATATTTTTAGAATTAAACAACAGAAAAATAGTAAAAACATTTTCTTCTACACATTGCATATTGAAAAACAACAAGGTCACATACATTATCAAGACAAAATTATTCTGTTATATTTCAATTCTGTTTTTGAATTATTAAAATTAAGCCGAACAATAAATCTTTTATTTTCTTGAATTCTAGTCGAGAGAAAAAGTAAGAACTTATTGTGATATATTTATTATAAAAGGAGTGTTAGAGAATTTGTTATAGTTTACAATTTCTCATAAAGCTCCAATATTCATAGAATTATTCCAAAACATGAAAAGTATGAGCAAAAGGTCTTACTCACTCACCTTTTTTAGTAGACTCTTGGCAGAACTAAAATTTTGCAAATTTTGTTTATTAATTGATTAAAGGAAAAATAAAAAATGATTGGTACATTTGGGCGGTCTGTGATATTTAAAACAATATAAACACACTTAGTTTTTAAGCCCCAACATTTATAAAAATGTGTAGGAATATGTTGGTGAAAATCATTTTATCAAATGCATAAAGGGTCTTCTAACTGAGCTTTTAAGCCTGCCAATGCATTCGCAGAAATTAAGCAATAAATTTTCAAGTAATTAATCAATGGTAAAATAAAAACAAGTAAAAAAAGAACTACATTAAATAATTTCTCAATTCTTGAATGCTCCTACGTCATTATGTCAAAAATTATCTTAAATTTGTTTAGACCAAAACTGTGTTGAAAACACACCAAAAATATGAATGAAATTCAAAGAATAATAACAATTTTTTTTATCGCAAAAATTTTGACATATAATTTAAATATCAAAGGTAATGTCATATCTTTACAAATTTATTTTGAACTCAAGGTGAAAAACAAAACCAAAATAATTGAGTAGGTCATCTTTTCTATTTTTATTTTTAACTTCTTTTTGTTTAAATGTACCAACACGTACTATAAGTACAAACTTATATAAAAATCTTTAATTACAATAGTCCTTAGAAATACCATTAGTAAAGAATAAATTTAGACAAATCTCTTATATTTATTGAAATGGTTTTTATTTTTTTATAACCTAGATTAACATGATTGAAAAACGTTTTACAAAACATTTTTCTAATATATACACACGTACACAGGTACGTATGACGATAGAACTTGGTTTTTATGTTTTATGTTTTTACATACATAAATATATAAAAATATAAAATAATAATATATTTGGAGAGAAATTTCAGAGAATTGTAATTACTAATAGAGTTCGGCAACGATAAATCAAATATGTACTTAAAATATTTTAATACGATTTGTGGAACACCCGAAAATTTTGAGGGGAAAAAGAAGCCTTCTAATGCATACTCAATCTGGAGCATAGTAAATTCTATTAGGCTCCTTCAGATTAAATCCAAAATATATATTTGGTAAGTGCTATAGTTTCTGAAATTACAAATTACTGCTGCAGATTGGCGGTTTCGTTCACTTGACCAGAAATTTCTTATTATACGCATTTAAAAATTGAATTTTACATTTTTGGTCTACTCCGAATTTTGAAATGAGTTTGACAGAAATTTGAAAATTTCCAATTATAGAGACTTTATTGTTTACCATTAACATAAGATAAAATAAATATTATATGTGTAAGGTCAATAACTATTATGAAACGTGCTAAAGTGTCATATTTTTTACAGAAAATAACAAGTAAATTTCCTTGTTTTTTTGCCTTTACTCTTATATGCATACTTACCGTACACGAATGTAAAAAATATGTATGAATACTTGATTTTATAAAAGCTTTTATTTTTTTATATGCATGTGTTTATAATATTCATGTATGTATATACATACATGTACAACATCTCTTAAGCCGGTAAAAATAAAGCTATAACATTTACTTTATTCATATTAAATCTGATGTTACATCACCTCATATTTAATTGAACTCACACCATGTGAATGAAACAAAAAAAAAAGAAACCTGAATTTATAATATCAGCCGATTTTACATAACAAACATTATGATGACGTTAAAATGAAGGTAAATATATTATGTACACACATACACACATATGTACATACAACCGATTTTATTATTATGTTTTTATACATACTTTGACAAATACTTATCTACACATTGTGAAAATAATCTTGAAATAAAAAGTAAACTACTTAATCAAAAATGCATTTAACAAAAAATAAAATTAACAATTTTGTATAAAAAATGTTTAATATTATTCTCAAAATATTTATTTTTAAGAATTTATTAAACAATATTCAATTAATATTAATGAAATTCATTATTATGTGCATGAAATAATCGAATCTGTCCGATTAAATTGATCATGAAAACATTGACGCTCCCAAATGTAAATCATCAGAAATGTAATCATTCCAACTTAAATTGCTTATTTAATATTTTGTGAAGTCTGTACGGCAGCTACATTGTATAACATTATTGAAATAACTTTATACTCAATATAAAATTCAATTAAAAATTTTTATTCAATTGAAAACTAAAATAAGGGTTAACTTTCTTTTAAACAGCGATTGTAAGTACGGTTTTAATTATACACGATTGTTTTCATCAGCAGCGAGAACCTCTAACACAATTATTTCACAATTTTTTTCTAGACAAAAGAATATTATAAGTATAGTATACAGAAAAGTACTGTATGAATCACTTTGACAGCGGATTATTGAATTTTTTAAGTGCATTTTGATGTGAAGCCAAAAATATTCTCCAATAATATTATTGAATTATTAATGGACACATCATTGGACTATCATAAGGCACGAAATGGCGCATATTTATGCGTAATATTTCTTTGCCTCTTACTGACCTAATTTAAATGTACAGCAGTAAAGTAATAAGTACAAACATACATAATCATAAAATTAATACTACAAATAGTACCCAAAATTTGAGATTTTTCATTGTGTCAATAATTATAATAAAAATTTAACATGATTCCAATGTTCTGAACTAAGAATTATTTTCTAATTGTTGGTTGAGCGCACACAATTGAAATAAATTCTGAAGGTTAATCAATTTTCATGGTTTATTCAGCCACTCTAAAAATATTCTAATCACGATTTTTGATAAATATATTTAGAAAGTTAAAATGACAGACATACAAGGAATGTAATGTTTGTATGTAGAACCACTATAGGTTAGGTTATAAAGTAATTATAAAAATTATTAAAATTTTAGTTCTGAATTATACAAAATTTCCGAAAATGATTTTTCTATTGGACATCAATTGAAATCAAAATAAGAGATAAACCTGAGAGATAAAAGCATTTATTGAGAGTATGGAGAATATGACTAATTTATGTGGATAATAACCATAATACTGTTAGAAAATTTAGAAAACTAGAACCGTGAACTTATTCTAAATCAATCTACATTAAAATTATTGATATTTGGCATTTAAATAAGTAACTTAATTGATTTCCGAATTTCAGTATCAAAATTAGGTAACATAAGGAGAGGAGTGTATCAAGTTCAGCTTAAAATTTTATAATTTTAAATTCGGTTTTGTAAAAAGATTGTAAATGCAAAATGCGAATATTACTTTAAACATAACAAAAATTCTGCTGTTGACTTTAATATTTATATAGGTATGTTTGTACTATAAATTTTATAAAATAGCGTAGTAAATACAAATATAAAATTTTTACTTTAAAATACAAATACTCATACATGCCAAAATCAAATATATTTGATATAAATGTACATATGTATATACATATTTCAATACCGCATTTGAACCTTGATACCAAGAATTTAATGATCAATACTTGTTTTTATAATTTATTAATTCTTAAACACATTTACTTTTAAAACTGGAAATGAAATACATGTTGTATGTATGTATGTATGTTTATGTACATAAGGACTTGTAACTATTTGTATAACAAACACATTATTTATAATTTTATCATTCGATACTATTCCAATATTATATTCAAGTGTATACTTAATTTAGATAAAATTTTACTTACAGTGGTTTGTAGCCATGGATTTTTATTAACTAATTCATTCCAATTTGTTTCAGGATCAACTGATGCAAAACGGCAATTTGCTGCTCCAGATTTTTCGTCCAATAAACGATTTAAAATATCTTTACCAGTTGCTTCACGAATAGCTTTTGCAGACATTTTGATTTATGTAATTTTAACAAAGTTAGCTGAAATTCAAATTAAAAAAAAAAAACAAAATTAATAATACAAAACTAAATTTTTTATTTTCTTAATTTTAGGTTGTTGTTTCATGAAATTCGATAAAATTTTTCAAGGCGTCTCTAAGGGTACATTAAAAATTAAAATTTGGTGTATTATTGAAGACTAGAGGAGTTTTCTCTTGCCAATTTTAGTGGTATTCATGTGATAATAATCAGATTTAAAAGTTTACAACCTCTTGGACGTATAATTTCCAAGATTGTAATTCAATATATAATTATATTTAGCTTAAATTAGACTTTTTATAAAAATTATAAAAAACTTTAACGAATAATTTTCATTTTCAACTTAATTAATTCCAACGATCATAGTTAATTACAAAAGGAAATCAAATTACATGATCACATAAATAACATGCTCAATTTTACAAACACAAGCTTTACAAATGTAAATTTCTAATTGAAATATTATGAATATTTTTTCGTAATCCAAGACTTTAAAGTACTCGCGTAAGTGTTGATTAATTGTATAAAAATTTGAAATTTTACTTATTTAATTAAAAATATGGTCCTATTAAACTAGAGCTATTTAATATAAGAAAATGCGAATACTTTTACAAAAACAGGTTCATATTTAAAATTTCGAACCAAATTAACATTTCAAACTTTAATTTTCTATTCATCTAAGATTATTGAGATGAAATTGAAACTATTGCATAGGTACTCGTATCATACAACTAAAAGAAATTAACCTAGTCGCTTTAAAAATTATTAAAAAACCATAATCACATTACATAACAAAAAAGTGAAAATTAAATTAATCGAAAATTCACATAATTAATAAAATTTCCGGAAATCTCAAAATAAAAAAAAATAACAAACAAAAACAAATTAGTTAATCAATTTTTTTCTATACAAAAATTCAAGTTAACAAAACGCTTACTCCAAATTTAAGCTTTCTACTTGCTTCCCTCCCCAAAAATTTGTTTTATCAACCAGTCCGCATATAACATAATAATAAAAGAAAGTTCCCATCGCTTTATCAAAGTTTTAATCAATTTCAATATTATTTTATCTTATACAACCAAATTTTTACACAATATTATTTTTTAAATGATAACGTAGGAATAATAATATACTTGACTACAAAAATCAAAAAAGAAACAAAATCTGATGTGACCAGCACATAACCGACCGAAATGTTTATTGTCTAATTTGGTAAAAGTGCTGCACAAGATTTTGAAAATGCCCTTTAAACACATCATTCAAATTTTAAGGTGCTAGCCAGCTTTTACTTAACATTACTTATATAGAAAAATGTAATTTTGGCTCCTAGCAGAGGCTCAATTTATGCCACCCCAATTCCTTAAAAAATTTTATCAGTTAATCCCGGCAGCAAACAGAACTCAAATATTAAATTTCATGTAAGCTAATTAGCGTCAATTAGTTTTTTAGATATGGAAAAGAATCTTAAATCGACAATTCGATTAACCCTGATACCCCCAAAAAAGTTTGTAAGTTCATTGTTTTAACATTCTGAATTTAAATATATAACATTTAGGAAATTGATTGAAGATTGCTCTTTGCATGCGGCGCAAAAATGTAAATAATCAAAATTAAATCAGGCATAAATTTTCATCAAAATCGGCCCACACGTCTACACACAGAGTGGCAGACCAACATCTAGCTAAAAGAAATTTATTTACACTTAACTACCATGAAGAAGTGCGTTTCCACCGAAAATTCGTCATGTCAACTTTGGTGCCATCACACAACCTTCCTCATTGTATGCAATGCAGTCGGTAAAAAATAATTTTTTTATTTGTGATTTTTAGCTTAACTGGTCAGATGAGAAATTTCACCAAATGAATTTTTTTTTCGCATATAATACCTGCGAACGTGTATTTTTCGGGTATTATGATTGGATTGCATTAAAGTCAGTTTAGAAAAGAAACATTTTGCCCTTCTATCACAAAAAATAAAAAAAAATTGAGGAGATTTTCATAATCAGGTGAAACATAAATCAAATTAATTCAAAAATATCGAAATATAACAGCTGTTGAAGAAAAAAAAAAGTTTAAACTTGAATTAGAAAGTTAAAAGAAATTTTGGACTTTAAACTTTTACGGTGAAAATTAAATTTTTTAACATAAAAATATTATAATTAATATAGAAGTTTTTTTTGTGTTGTAAAAGAAATTCAAATTACGTAGGTATGTAAGTTATTCTTTTATTTTCTGAATTAATTTTTATAATTTCACATTTTTAATAAAATGACATTGAATTTTTACAGAATAAAAATCAAAATTTTTAGGAAATACCAACAAAACATACGTAACTGATGTACTCGTAATTAATTGCATGCAATTATGGAAAAGCAAAATTTTGCATGCAATTTCGCCAGTCTGCAAAATAATTTAATATGACTTAGGTTAAGTGAGTTTTGCACTTCTGCAAAAAATTGTAAACTGTAGCTTACATAAAAGAAGTTTGAGTCTACACATTTTCGGGCTTCACATACTTAATTAGTTTTTTAATTTTAATACTTAAAACTGTTCATAATTTACATATTATAGATATTTTCGACCTCAAAATCATTTTATTGTATCTCAATAAACTTGGATAGTATAATGAATTTCAAGCCCTTTATAACTAAGCGTTATATATGTGCTGTGTACATTATTTAATTTACTATAATTATTTGATTTAAATTTAAAGATATTTTAATTACTTTTTAAATAAAAATAATTTAGAATTTTGTTTCATTATTTTCAAAAATTATAAACATACTCGTACATTGATGTACATATATACTTTATGATCGTATTTTTATTTTCATGCAATAAAATAGTTTTGGGATGCAAATTAAAGGTAAAAACATGTAATAATAAAGTAGTCACTAAAATACATTATAAATTTATTTTTTTTTCTTTAAACGACTGCAATATTAACGGCTCATTAAACTAATGACCGACTGTCCTCAGTATTACAATACAGGTCTAAAGATAATACCCAAATGAAAGTTAACTAGTTTTGAATTACCTAAGATAAAATAATTATTAAACAGGGTAGTATTTACTTATTCAAAACGTAATTGAAAAACTAAATACTACCCTGATTACCTAAAATTTCTTCAAAATAATAACATTTATTCAATAACGTACAATTAAGTACAAAATTCAAATAAAACTAAATTTTATACAAACACAAAGTACCTAAATAATTAAATTCAAAAAATATAAGTATTCCGAAAGTATTTGTGAGTGAAAAAAGAATAATTTTCCGCAAAACAAAAAAAAACAATAATTTAAATCAAATTAATAAATATTTACATTTGCACGTACATTTTTCATTTGACCCTATAGAATTAAAATTATGCAATTCATGTTATTATAGTTTTAAAATTTCATTTGAATTTCTAGTATTTTACATACTTATAATTTTACAGTACCTACATACTTACATACATACAACAAAATTTTCTCATTTGGCGCACAATTTACTTATATGTTCAAAGAGTACTTACAACCAATACAAATACAATGTTAATTAAAAAAGAAATAATAATAATTATAATAAAATTAAAATATTATTATTAATTTTTCTACAATTAGATCAATTACAGGGTAATATTGTTGTATGTACTTTTGTCGGATTTGCTAATTACATTTTAATTTTTAATTCATTTTTACGAGTATATTTATAATTACACTCAAAAAAATATGAGTTAATACATATTTTCTTTGAAACTGACATTTTGTATGTGTTTATAGTAAAATAGTAATGACAATCGTTTATTTGCTATATTAATAACTGTTTGATTTGCATCAAATTTAATCAAGTATAAATAAATATATATATGTATATACATTTGTATGTTAGTATGTATTTCAACAATTTGATTTATTTATCAAGTTCAAAAGTTTTATTAAAAAATGTGTAAATATTTTATATCTATATTTACATATTTATGTACATAAATATATATATGTATGTATATAAACAGGAGGTATGTATAATTTTGTATACATTTCTGTTTCAAATAGACATTTAAATCAACATTTTATATTTTTTAAGTCTAATGAGTTTTTTACAATTTGACCATTAGAATTAAATAAGAACTAAAAGGTTCAATAATATTCAATTAAAAATAAGTTTATAAATATAAATTCAAGAGTCAAGAATTTGAGAGTATATTATAATAATTAATTAACAAATATAACACCAATTACGTTTAAAAATTAAAAAATTACACTCTAAATTTCACTCATAAATACAATATAACGGTATATATAGAATATAGAAAAATAGAATGGCCATATATTAAAAAATTGAATAATGAAATACTTCAAATTTGTAACAAAAAAAGTGATAGAAAAATATGAAAATAATTTATGACTAATTAATAATTTAAAAAATTTCATCAGTAATGGATAAATATTGCAATATTATAATGAAAATTTCTTTCGAACTCGAATGAGTATTTGAATATTTTTTTTTGGAAAAATTTCGTCAGTATGAAAAATACAATTTCCAGTTTCCTTCTAGTATTAAATATAAAATAATAAATAATTTCTGAAATTTTTCAACACCATCACTTTTATCTATGTATGCAGGTATGTATGTTTATATATCCAACGTGAAATGTCAATATTCTCAAAAAATACTCTTCATTACTTCGTTCTTTTTTTTTTTGTTTTAGTAGATTCAAATATAATAATTTTGCTTAACAGTACTTTTTGCAACACTTTGACGAAGAATTGAAATGAGAACATGACATTTTAATTCCAACAAAATATTTATAGGTATATGTTATGTACACATTATTAAATAACTAAAATAGAAAATAAATAACAAAAAAAAAAAAAATTAAAAATAAATAAATTCACACCTTTTACCCTCTTGATTATTCAAAAAATATCACGTGCTTTATTAAAATAAAATTTCTAGCTTTTCTTTTTTTATTTAACAAATAAAAAATTTCTTTCCTTTAGAAGTGTTAAAATATAAAATAAAAATTTTTTGTTTTAGTTTTTAAATTATATTAGGTTCCTATAATTGTATGGAATTAACAGACAATAATTTAAAATTTCTTTCAAAAAAAATAATAGAAAGTGGAAAATGATTAAATATGTAAGTATGTACAAACACCAAAATTAATTTATGCATTCCTAATAAGTTCCGAATTCAAGTTTTTTTTTTATTTTAATTCCAAATATCCAAGTGTTGTCACTATAAACATTTAATTTTTATTATAAAGTTTATAATGTATAAAAATTAATATGTTAAAATTTTTTTAAAATAAAAACAAAAAGCTTTATTGCTTTATTTACCTAAAGCTTTAATAAAAAATTTCGATTTTTTTTTTAAATAGGAAACAACAAGCAACAGAAATATTTTATGAAGTACCGTGATTCAAAAAAAAAAAAAAAAACAAGAAACGCGAATGTAAACAATTTTTAATATAAGCGAGACCACAAAAAAAAAACGCAACAAATTAAACGATAACCGCGTGTGCTTTTCCTTTTTAGTTTGAATTAAATTGAATATTTGTCGTTTTAAGAGAATGCAAAGGCACAACCGATCAAGTTGCCAAGCAAAATCAAACTGATAGATACTGCGATAATTTGAAAGCGATCTAGACTATAAGTAAAGTATAGTAGTGGTGGCGTGTTCCATAATTTCAGCGTCATTATTTTCTTTTTTTTTATTTTTGTACTTATTTATAATTTTTTGTCTTTTTAAAGTGAAAAGTTTTTAAGGTAAAAGTATATTGTGTAAAAAAAATTTTTTTTTTTTATTTATTTTACATTATGTGTGAGTATTTTTATATTAAACGTACGCAGAAGTAGGTACTCTTACTTAGTAGTAATTTATTAGTATTTATGTATGTAGATGTGGTTCAAAGCTGAAAGTTTTTAGTATTTTTAAAATTAAAAAAATTTTTTTTTAATATTTATGCATTGTAATTTCTATATTGTTTAAATAAATATTCATTTTCACACGCACAGCATACAATTTCTTAAACGGCATTTATACAATTTGTAAACTTATTTAAGAGTAATTTGCAATTTTTTTCCAGTCAAAGTAAATCAAAAATATTTTGAGAATTTTTTACCATATTTTCTAAATAAGTAAAAAAAGCTGCATTCATACACGAATTTTGAGGATTTTGATTAATAAAATATTTATCTACAAATGTAGGTATACTTACAACTTTTTATATCGGTATTATAAATATGTACTTTTTAATATTAAATTATTTTTAAGAACCCATTAACTTTCTTTCTAAACATAATGTTATGACGACGAGGAAAAATATGATGGCATAGAAGAGAGACAAAGACTTAAAGGCATGTTGTTATTAAATACTATTTTTAACAAACGTTATTTCTAGCAATAACGTAAAAAATTTTGTTTTATGCTTTCATATTGAAATTATTTCACCACCCTCCTTTCGATGTTAATCGATATTATGCTTCAAAATCAATTCTATGTTATGTGTATAATTTATACAATATTATGTATAAATTATATTGTTAATTATTGCCATCTTGAGCGTACAAATATGATTTCCGGAAAAGTATCGACTTCTTATGCTCCTTGTGTTTTAGTTTTATTGAAATTGTTTTCTGTTTTTGAAACTCTTTGATTTTTACATTTTAACATTTGTTGTTTCTCGGTTTGTGTAAGCTATAAGGTTAAATTTAACTTCATTTATTTTGTTTCTTAAACGATTTTCATTAAAAAGGCAGAACAATACAAAAAAATTTCTATACGAAAGATGGATTTAAAGTGAGAACAGAACAAGAGGAGAAATTTCAAAATTCATATAGAATGTACATACAATGGAACTGCCTAAAATAAATCGAAATTACCTTACAAAATTTAAACAACAGCGGTAAAATAATCACAAATCCTATTTTGGGGTTTTTGGCTTTTTTTTTAAATCACATTCTGTTTCCATGTTTGTGAAATGTAGAATAGGTACTACACATTTGATTTTGCTGTTCAGCTGTTTTTAAGTGTTAACAACGAAAATCGTCCACCGTTGCTATTCTGTTCTTACAATAAAATGAAACTTTTCTAAAAATTTTACTTATAACACCCAATAAAATAATTATGCTGATATACTATGCTCAATGTTGGTCATACATGAATTCTTAATTGTGATAAAAAAATAGGTAAATATACCCAATTATTTCTTAATTGGCTTAATGGACAAAAAAATAGAATTTTCATCAATGGTCTATTTATATCTCTTAATCAACTACTTAATATTGCATATTATGTTATTTTACAAATTTTTTTCTAATTTCTCTATATTGTTATTCTAACAAGTCTTATAAGGAATTTACAAAAAGACACCCACAAAACATAAATTTAACTTAATTAAAATTCCAGCACAGAAAATTTTTCTATATAATTTTAAATTTCTCATAGTATCTTCTACCTACCAATTTAAGAATTGTAGTACCCAGTCACACGAAAACGTAAAACAATTTAAAAATTATTTACTTTTTTATTGCATTTATGTTTTATTTAGTGCAGCTACGAGTATTTCCTATTTTTTATCAATTTTGTAAAAATTGACCACAATAAAAACAATAAGCACTACCTTATAATATTGTAAATTAGGTTTCTCTATTACAACGACGCTTATAATGAATGATTTTTTAAACCCATAATAATTATGAATAATACGAGTACATGGGTCGTTCCTCAAACCCTTCTACAATCGGTAGATATTCATGCAAAAAAACCTTTTTAATTTTCTAAAATTGTGTCTATATTAGCGATATAATAGTAATTTTAATTTAACGTTCCAAAAAACATCAGATCTGTCAGCTGATCAATATATTATTTTTTCTACTTATCGATATGCATTTAAAATAAACAAATGGTCTAGATAAGAAAAATTTCATATTATTTCCTACTCAATATACGTATACTATTACTTTCATACATGAACATACATATGAACAACAAAATTTCGTTGGTATGTATAAATATGTACGCCTTACGTTTAATTTATAATAAATTAGTTAATGTTGCTGTTAGAAAGCTATGTGCTACCTTATTAGAATAAGTATTGCAAAATACTGAATCAAAATTTAATCATTTATTAAATCTTTAGTACCTTCTCACCTCTATTTACCTATGTATGAACCTAGGTACCTAACATGCTTTAGTCACATTTTTATAACATGCAATAAGTATGATAGACTTAATAAGTTTATAAAATTTCTTTTAGAGATAAGAATTTAAAAAACAAATGTAAAATTTATGAAAAAGTGGAAATAGCAATCAAAATAAATTATCAAAAATATACTTACATATATATTTTTTGTTGGTATTTAGAACCTGTTAGAACTTTATTATTTTGATTGCAAAACTTTAATTAGTAACAGAAAATAGCTAGGTTTAAAAATTATACACAAAATATTTAATATAAATAATTGCTTAGTCAAAAAAAATCAATAAGTATGTATCTAATATTTTAGGTAATGTAGTTTCAAAAAAAAAAATTTATTTACAATAAAGATCTAGCAACGTCTAAAATAAAGTGTGAAATTAACGTTACCTGAACTCCTGAATTTCTCTATGCAAAACGCTAATCGAAAAAGATTAAAAGGATCAGGGTCACGTTAATTAAATATTTAATCAAAATTAAGTAGGCATCTATATGTATGTATATCCATACCATAGTTAGAATATTAAGAATTAAAAACTATTGACATAAGTATTTAAAAAAAGAAAAACACAAAAAAAATAATCAGGGTGAATTTACCGGCGACTATGCCCGGTAATTTATGATTTTACAGAAAAAGTTTAATTTAAATTAAATAAATTTTGAAATTTGTGTTGACAAATTTCAAGAATCTTTTATTTCAAAGAAATTTCATGAACGAAAATGGTCATTATTATTAATAGATTTGTTTCATACAAAATATTCTAGGACATACACAAAAACAGTGCGTCATTTACTATTTCAAAACATGATAATTTTATTGCTGTGTTAAAAATTTTATGTAAGTAGGTATACATACCTACCTAATTACTTTTTTAAGTGTTATAATTAAGTATATAAAACAATTTTAAATTTCACTTACTCTTTATTTATTTTTAACTAGAATGTTACTTTTAAAAATCCAAAATTGAAAATCAATTTCTTTCTGAAGTTTTGCAAGCTCACACTACACTTTCTCTAATAAACTGAAATTTAATTTTGTATTTTTTTTTTATTAAGTCCTTGTTATTTACGCTTAGAATATTTATGACGTAATTATTGCAACGTTTAGGACCATGTATTATTTACATATGTATGTATGAATGTATGAACAAATAACACACCATATATTTTTGTACACTTTCTCTCGGAATAGTTTTCCGATTAATCTAAATTTGGTGAAAAGTAATATAATTTTAATGAGTACTTGTTCGATATCAATTATGACAATTATTAATGATTTTTTTCAAGTAAAATTTCAAATTTAAGCACGCCAATTTTACAAAAATTCAATTTAAAAATTTTTTAAATTACTACTCATTTTTACTTCAAAATATCAATCAAAGCTATAACTTTTTGAAAGCTAAAATATTTACTGTTATGTTACCAGTGCATTGGAAAAATCTTTACAAATGTCATTTCCATTTTGGAGAAAAAAAAAACGCGCATCAAGATATGTTTCAAAACGTAAGAAGAAGAAATTTTCGCCACAGGTGGAGTGCCACTTTTTTCAGCTCAAAATATTTCGGTAGCAAAGAAGCAAAACGAACAGTACCCTACTTTTTTACCTGATTTTTTCTTCAAATGTGACTTTATACCTAAATTCTAAGTAATAAACTTTGACGACAATTTATATTTCAAACTGAACTTATCTAAAACTTCACGTCAAAATTTAGGAATTTGCTACAAAAGTTAAAACCGAATTAATAATCAGCTAGCATAAGTTATTGTCGCCATTTAACTATTATAAAATCCGACAGAGAGTTTGATGAGAATGAAGAAATATCTATGAATTGCCGTTAGGCAAAGTCTAATGTCAAACAAAGCTTACATATAAGACTCAGACTAAATTGTAGATTTTGTCATATGTATGGACAGAAAGTTAAACTGAGCTATTTGAAGTCGAATAAATTTTTCTTTTATTGTAAAACATATCCTTAAAAAAAGTATTGATAAGTCCTTAAAGCAAGAAAAGGGACGGCACTGAAGATGGAGAATGTCAAAAGTTCATATAAAGTACTTCAATAAATCGACAAACAAATGCATCCGGCTTTTATGCAACACTTGACCAAAAATAGTTTTTGAAAACGCCACTAGTGTTTTTGATTACTTCTTCATTGACATTAGCAAAAAAACTAAAACAATTGACTATCAGCTGCTTAAAGGTTTTGGAGAGAAGGCAATTTTGATAATTGAACCGAGGAAAATTTAAAGTATGGTTTATTTACATTGTTGTGCTTTAAATTAAATTAAAGAATTTGATTTATTATTTAAGATGGCTCAAGTTTTGAAACAGCTAGCTCAAGAGGAGGCAATAGCTAGGGAGCCATGGCCAGATGATTCATTACTCTATCAACCTTTTGATGCAGAACAAATTCTTTTAGCTGAGCAAGCCAGTTGTTTAGCCGTAAAAGCTTATTTAAAAATGTGCAAATTACCATTTAATGTGCGGTCTAGCGCAAATGCGGAATTTATGTCTCCAGGTGGTAGAATGACGAAATTACCATTTATCAAAGCAGGAGAATTTGTGATAGCCGAATTCGAACCTATTGTGAGTTTCATTGAAACTAAGGGAACAAAGCTTACAAATCATTTAGATGAAGATGAAAAAGATGATTTGAGAGCATACTTATCTTTAGTTGAAAACATTTTTACAAACGCAGAATTATATTTAACTTTTATGGATGATGAAAATTATCATCAAGTAACTAGCATGCGATACGGTAGTGTTTATCCTTGGCCATTAAAAGCATATCAGAACGGAATAAAACGGAGAACTGTTATCAAACAGTTAAATGTGTATCAATGGAAGGACATGACATTAAAAGAAGTTGTAGATAAAGTTGAAAAGTGTTGTGAAGCACTTACCGAACGGTTAGGCGATAGAAAATACTTTAATGGCGATTTACCTACCGAACTTGACGCAATTACTTTTGGTCATATATTTACAATATTGACAACAAAATTACCAAACAATATTCTTGCGGAAACTGTTAACCGATTTGATAAGTTGGTTAACTTTTGCGCCAATATTGATAAAGAGTTCTTCAGAATTTCTTCGTAAACTATTGTTATAAAGCAATTACAGCAGTCTCATTGTTTTATTTAGTTGTACCTATTTAATAAAAATACATAATGCATTTATGTAAAAATATTTGAAATTTTTTTAATGAAGATTAAAGTTTCAAACAACATTCAGTTCCTGGATATTCAGGAATATCAAGCTCATATTTTGCTTCTAATGGCTTGGGTACAAATCTCCCACCTAAGTAATGATGTTTTCCATTAAAAAATTTGGAACATAATTTAGGTGCTGTTAAAGATATTAACATGTCGGGATTAATGTCAGCGTTCTTATTTAAAGGTCCTTTTTCAACATCCCAGCCTGATGGTATATCAATGCTAAAATAATTTTCTTTATATTTTTTATATATTTTAATAACAAAATTTACCTAACTATCGGGATTCCTGAACTTTTTAGTACATTTATTATTGGAACAAACATTTCTCGAACAGGTGGTTTAAAACTAAAACCAAAAAGAGCATCTACAATTAAGTTATAGTTGAGCTTCGCACTTTCTATATCCGGACATTCATCCAAAACTTCAATTTTCATAGACTGTATTTGATGCAATAAATTGGTAAATAGCTCTTTGTCAGTACGTTTAGGGTAATAAACAACCGGTTTAAATTTCAGTAATGACAAATGTCTAGCACAAACTAATCCGTCACCCCCATTATTACCTGGTCCGCAACATATCAAAACGTTTTTATAACTTTCTGGAGAATAGGTCTTTGCAATAGCGTGAGCACAACTTAAACCAGCTAGCTCCATTAATTGATCCACACTAAATTTGTATTCATTAAATAATTCCAAATCGATGTTAGTGGCCTCTGTTTGATTTAAAAACTTCATTGCAAAAAACCGATGTATGAGCTACAACATAAATATTTAACTAAGTTTAATTCTAAAAATGCAAAATATAGCTTACTTTATTAGGGTATCGATATTTTTGATAGACTGATCTGCAAATCATTTAAATATTTGCAAGAATTTTTTAGTAAAATATATTTAAACACTTAATTTATAAATTATTTTAACAAGTTTATTTGTGAATACTTAAGTTATTGTCAACACAATTGAGTCGAAATTCAAGTAAACTATGACAGGATGTCAGAAAAAAATTGGCATAAAGTTCTGCGGTATTCTAAAAACCAAAATTTCATAACTGCAATTTTGACGTGTTGAGAAAATGTTCCGTTTTTTTGGGGTTTTTGTACTAATTTCTTTTGATTAGTTTCCCATAAGCTGATTATTTTTTTTTTAACAAAATTAGTTTTTCGCTTGCCAGAAAAGAAAAACCTGAAATGACTGGTTTAATTCCTTATTATTATAACCAAACACACTATATGTGAATGCATGTATGTATTTTTGTGCCTACTTTCGGTTTTCCAAAATGATTGGTTCGTAAACAAAACCTTTAACACTTTAACCCTCGGTTGGCTAATACTTTGTTCACAAGAGTGGAGAAATGTATTCAGTGTCTTCAATTATTGGCCAAATTTTTAAATTCTTTGAACAAATAATGTATGTACGTATGTTCTTACCTAGCCTTAAAATCATTATAAGAATACTAGCTGCCCAAACCTCTTTAATTATATCATTCTGCTGAAAGTCATGTTCAAATTATTCTTTTCAAAAAATTGTAACCTTGCACCCATATTTAGATAGGTAGAACAACCTATAACAAAAAACATTTTACTACATTCAATCAAAATAAATACTAGTTACAAACTTAACTTCAAAAAACTTATATTTATAAATGCTTTTATTGCTAATTCCTTCAAAATCAATGTTTTTCATTTTACTTACATACATTTCAGTTTTGTTTTATCGAAAAATATGTACATACATACAATAGTTAAATACATTAAGCTGATTTATAATTTTATAATAAACAAAGAATCTTAATTTTCTTCAAGGCATCTTTTTAATTTTTCTGTTAAACATTTTGTATTGAGAAAGGGAGTAGGTAATGTAAAACATTATATTATGAAAAAAATTACAAATCTTATGTACATTATTTTATTGTAAAAAGAAAGTACACTTATTGGTATAATATATAAATATTAAATTGTTACACATTATGTTTAAATAAGTTTTAGGCTTAATATTAAATTTTAATACTATATATGTACATTCCAAGAAACTTATTTTGTATAGCAAACAAAAAATTCTAATATAAAACTGGTAACAAACTTTATATAACATTTTTATTTATTTTGAAAAGTTTACTAATTACAATATGTGCCAAAAAGCTTCGTACATATTAAATTTTACACAAAGGCACTTTCTATATATAAGCATTTCAAATATAATTTTTCAAAAATTATAAAATATCGAAAAAGCATTTCAAAAATTCTAAGATTATTTAAAATAAAAGTATTGTGTATATATTTATAAAATAAATATAAAAAAAAATTTATGCGAAATTTTTAGTTATTATTTAAATTGTGAATATTCTTTTTTATAAATAATTAAGCAACAATATTAGTTTATATTAAATGTTTAATATACTATAAAGATTCTTAAAACTAAATTAAATATATTATGAAATTCTTTAAAAATTTTATCCAATTAAATATAATACATATTTTTCATCTAAATAATTTTGATTTTATGGTATTATAAATATATTCCTGTCTTTTTCTTTCTAAAATTACATTATATTATTTTCAATTTCATTGTTTTTGGGATTTATTGCATTATATCATAATCAGTAATTAGAACTAATAAAAGAGGCTTATTATTTTTATTAGTGTCATTATTTATATTTTCTTCATCACAGTCACTGCTACAGTTACTGGATGATGGTATATTATTAAAATTATGTGGTTGTTGTTGAGGTTGTAGTTGACTATCGCAATAAAAACTTAAATTATCTATTTTATTTTTATTACTCAGATTTCTTTCATCATCTGCTTCTTTACATTCAAACTCCACTTGATGGTTATCCAAATGTTATTTGGTCGCTAACATTGATGTCCCATTTGCATATACAGGTATATTACAACCGAAATTTACATGATCGATTACTTCTTGTTTCAGCTGAAATACATGCCCCTTCAAATTTTTTACTACAGCTCCCAATTCAGCATTTTCCGCTTTTAATGTTTTAACTTTATCTTCTAATTTGGAAATACGTTCTAGTTTACGCTTTCGGCATTTAGATGCGGCTACGCGATTTCTCTGACGTTTTCGTTCTAACTTAATTTTTTCTTGAGTTTCCATGTCGATAGGACTCACTGGTGGTGAAGCCGGTTGAGGTTCATCTTTTATTGCAGCAATTGGAAAACTATCATCTAAAATAAAACGTATTTCAATGCATTTACATTTATTCATCTATCGTAATTATCAAAGCATACCTAAATTAGTATAAGTTATTGATCCACCACTCATTCCGCTTGTTGTTACCACAGAAGCTGTGGTATTAGTTACTAGAGTTTGTTGAGATGACTGATTTTGGACAGTGGAATTACTAGAATTTTGTTGTGTATTTTCCCCTTCCTTCAATTTTTCCAAGGCTTCTACGAAACCTTTTGAGAAATTTTCTTGCTCTTTTGTTGCCTAAAATTAAAAATATACAAAATTAATGAAATTTTAAATTATTTTTTTTTGTAGTAGGTACTTTTGTTGGCGGAAACACAACGATGTTATTGTTAGGTGTAGGAGCATTCAATAAAAACTTTTCTAATAATTCAGGAGTATTAAATGGTAAATCTTTTAAATTACCCGGTGAATCTAAAACTAATGGTGGAACAGTTTGATTAAGACGTTGTTTTTTAGCTAGATTTTTATTTGAATTTAAATCCAAAGAAGCAGGCCTTTTAATTGTGTTTGATTGATTTGTATTACTGAACTGATTATTTTCTTCAAAAAATGTTGCATCCATATTACTATCACTAGTATTATTTTGATTTATATTGTTTATGTTATTATTATTGTTTACTGGTAATTTCCTCATTATTCTTTTCTTTCTTATTTTATACGCCTCTGTTATGTCAGTGATTATGTCAATTTCTAAACGTCACGTATCAAATATATGTCTAATTATGAATATATTTCTATGTATGTAATATATAATATTGCATTAAAAAATATACTATACGATTGATTACACTTTAAAATTTTAATTATTATTTTTTGTTTATTATTAGCTTTAATTTTATATTTTATTGATTTGGTTTTAATAATTGTCGGTCATTTTTTATAAATAATACAAAATTTTTTTCAATTAACAAAGACTTGAGAGCTTTTGACCTTGGAGTTAATGATCAAATCTGAATTTTTGGTATTTCAAAAAAATGGCTTCTTCTTATAAGTCCAAAATTTAATAAAACTTTTAATAAAATCCAATCACTTCACACTTTTTTATAAAATATTATCCAAATAATGAATTTTTTCCAAAAAGTTTCAATAATATCTTTCCACTTGAAGCGACAGATACGAAATGATGAAAGAATATGCGAAATTATGAGTCATCGTTGAAAATAAAGTGGAATAAAGGATAGGTAAAAAAGTCACGTCATATTTAATTCTGATTGGCTAAACTCTCATAAAATTCGAGTAAAAAATGAAATGAAAATATGGTAAGAAACAAAAAACCAAAACAGAGGGTATGATGACTGCTGAGAGAAATATCTTACAATACATGCATAAACAATGACAACTTTTGAGTAAAGTAAAAGTACTTTTACAGTGGTGCGATATATTAGAATTTGTAATTTTAGTATTATAAATAGCGAGTACTTGAAAAATAACGAGTAACTTAATTATGAATAACCTTTGTATTTGACAAAATATTCAGAAACTTTAATATACTTAAGAGATTCAACTAACGCAAAGCCACAAGAAAATCAGAAATGCCATTTTCTCGTCTATTAAACTCTAGACTAGTTTCTGAAAAATCATGGAGTACTTCTTCACCTGTTGTTTTATTTCAAAATTGTGTTCTGTAATTAAGCCTCTTAATGGCTTTGTTGAAAAAAAAATTGCATAATATGCCAATTTTTCTCCAATGTTGTGTTATTTAAAAGGTCAAGATTACTCCCTACAAAGTGAAAGAATACAAATCAGCGTATATGTAAATGTGTTCAATAATTAGAGAATAAATTTAGGAAACAAAAAGAATCTACTAAATTGATTAAATCGAAATTTGATAAATTTTTTTATTAAAATAATTGGCTAACATTCTTTGAATAATTAAATACCATTAGTTTAATTAATATCAACATGTGTATGTACATGTATAAAAGTATATCATACATGTATGAAATACTTTACCCTTAATGAACTGTGTTCGAAGAAAACAAACTTTCACTTTTAGTTTTAAAATAGCCTATATTCGTTAAAGTTTAATGAAATTTTTGGTTATTTATTAAATTCAAAAAAATAAACACAAAACTTAAAATGTCGTTTTTGAAAGACATTCATACTTTACTTAAATTTTGTAAAATTTTTGGTATATTGCCATTTTTCTCAATTGAGAAAGTATACAATTCTCATTGTTATGAATATAAATTAACAAATAAAAAATTAATTTTATCATATGGAATTATTTTATTTATAATTTTAAATTCAATATATTTCTTATATGATGTGACTGTAAATCGAATAAATTATAATGTAATTGCAACAAAAGGCGATACTGAAGCAATAAATCAAACAATTGAAACTGCTTTCGCAATAATAACATATTCTTTAATAATTTTAATGTTTTCATTTAATTATAAAAATCATATTAAAATGTTAAATCAAATCAATAATATTGAATATCAAATAATACAAAAATATAAATTTTCCGGTAAATACATTGGAAAAAAACTTAAATTTTCCATAGGGGTACTTACGATTATTATGGTATTATTTACTCCATCTTATGTTATCCAACTGAATATTCCAATTAAAAGTAAAATAATATTAGTATTACTATATGAATTACTATTTATAATATCATTGCTTTTTACGACATATTTTTATTATTTTTCTAAAAATATTTCATTAAGAATAAAATTTTTAAATGAGAAAGTTTTAAAAGATTTTAAAGAAATAAAGAGTGAACAAGATTTAGTTGGTGCATTAGAAATAATTATAAAATTAAGAGAAATAATTGATTCTTTTAATATAATTACTGGTCATATATTACTTTTATATTTGGCATATGCGGTAAGTGTTTTCTAAGTTTTAGAAAAGTAGTTGTAGTAATGGTAAAAGAGGGGCACCCCACCTACAGATCCACCACGCTACATACAGTAATACCCCGTGTTACGTACGCTCGTTTTGCGTACCCTCGCACTTACGTACATCTCATTTTTGTCCCCAATTGCCCATTATACGTATAATGATTCACACTTACGTACAAGTACATTTTTTCTGGTTTTGAAATTTATGGAAAAAAAAATTATGTATACCAAATTGAGAATGTACACTTGTAACAACGTGTTTTTGTATGTCTGTACATTATTTCTATGAAACCTAAATTTTGTTATGAGTGAATGCATGTAGAAACAAGTCAAAACAAAATCTATGTAAAGTGGAATAAGAACAAAACAAAAACGAAACTTTTGTATTAAGAATTATTTTTTCTATTTTTATTTATGTATAGTTTTTTTCTTTGAACAATAATTCTATGAAATATTAACTTGCACAGTAAGTAGAAATACGTTTATTTTTTTTTTAAATTCTTAAAATGAATTTTTTTTCTAAGAAATGGCAGATAAAAAATTAAAAAAAACTCGAAATGCTCTTTCGCTGAAAGCCAAAGTTAAGATAATTAGAATGTGCGATGACGGAACTCCTCAAGCTGAAGTAGCCCGCCAACTAGATTTGAAACGTTCTACTGTAAACACTGTAGTCAAGAGCAAAGATAAAATTCTTTTTGCAGTGAAAAATGCTACACCAATAAATAGTATATTAAGTTTATTTATATATTTATTGTTTTAGTTTGTTTCAAACATATTATTCATCAATAAAGTAGTAGATTCATTCTACGTACATTTTTGTTTTACGTACACGCTCCGGTCCCAAAGGGTACGTAAGTGCGGGGTATTACTGTATGTTCCTTAAAATTTTCCTTAAAACCATTAAAATGTTGACTTCTTATTTTTATATTATAGTTTTATACAATAACAAACCAGGGATACATGACTTTTTCGGCTGTTAGTTCTTCGGATATTGATTTTTATAATAGAATTCGAACTTTATTATTATCATTTTTATGGGCTGGAAATCAAATAATAAATATGATAGCATTTTGTATAGCCTGTGAAAATATGATTTCGGAGGTAATGTTTTTTTTTAATTAGCCTAATGCAATAACAACACTTTTTTTAAAATATGTTACTTTTTCTCTTTTTAAGGCAAATAGAACAAGTCAAATTTTGTCTAGAGCGAATAACGTTATAAAGAGCTTAGAATGTAGTGTATGTGTCTGTATATTATAAGTATATGAAAAATACTATCTGGTCGAATCTATAATTTTTTTTTGTTTTATAGGTGGATCGATTTCTAACAAAAAATATCAATCAAGAAATGAGTTTTACAGCTTACGGTTTCTTTACTGTTGATAATTCAACAATTTTCACGGTAAATTTGAAATTTTTTTAATTTAATGTTTAATAATTTATTAATTGAAATATTTTTTTTAGTTTTTCTCAGCCATTACCACTTATCTTGTAATTCTTATACAATTTAATCAACTGGAATAAATTATTTTTTGGAATTTCTAAACTGTGAATGATACAATTTATTCTCTACGCTTCATTATAAAATGAAGTTGATTGCAGCTGAACAATATCGCAATTGATCCAAAAAACAATCATGATCTTATAGATAAACCATATGACGTACTATATACAAGCTATACATTATTAATCCTACACATGCTAGTCGAAATTTACGAAAACCAACTGTTCAAAATTTCTTAACGAAACGAGTATAATACAAATATTTAAAAAAAATTAAAATTTAATTCTATAAATAATTTAAGAATTTTAAAATTTTAATTTTATTTAGAAATTTTTGTTCGATATTCAACAATAAATAATTGTTTATGAACTTTGAACATACGCGCATACATACATGCATGCAAATCCATATTTGTTGCATAAGCAAATGTGAAATTCAAAATAACCACTAAGTATATAAAAATTGCATTTATATGAAAATCTAGATAACATTGAAAATTAAATAATTAAACAAATTATATTGTAAATATATACACATACATACATATATATGTATAATATAGTTTTGCGTAATTATTACTATTTTTGCCTTATCACTGCCGCACAAATACGAGTTCACCTCATGCAGATATTTTATGTATGTATATGTACTGAATTTGTATATATGTATACATTCATGTAAATATATATTTTTTTTAATCTAAAATGAAAACAAAATATGAATCATACCGGAATTCCCTATAAAAGATAAGGTGTTTCCCAGAATACTTGATTTATATTTGCTTCTCTCTGTTTTATTTACATTCTTTCTTCGTCGCACTAAAATAGCAAATTTTTTTTCTTTATAATGCAGAGTTTATGTATACATCATATATAGTATTATATATTCATATGTATATACATATATATATATATATATTTAAATAATAACGTAACATTTGTTGTTATTAGTAGAAGAAAATTGAAGAAAATCTTTTTTTTTTATTCATTTTCTTTCAATTTCAACATGAGAAGAGGAGCTCCTTCGTTTTTTAATCTTTTTCACTGCACATATGTACATATATATGTGTGTATGTATATTAAACAGTTCACTTTATCTTAACTCTTATTTTATACACAATAGTTACACTAACACATTTACGTACCTGTTAAAAAAAAATTACGTCAACAAAATCAACAGGTGAATTTGCTTATTTGCTTATTACAGCGTTAACAATATTTGTTCAAAGTTTTTTTTTGTATTAAATCAAAATAATTGTATTATTATTTTATTTCCTTTGTTTACTTCAAATAAAAATTTTCTAATATTTTTTGTCAATATTATTTTCATAAAAAATAATAATTTAAAAAAATGATAACCAGCTTTAGCATTTAATTAAAAATAATATAAAAATATTAATTCTCTTATAATTTGGTGTGAAGTAGGAGATAGGGCGAAGTTAACTACACAATAATTATTTTAATGATAATATTTTTGTTGTTCTTTGAAGTAAAATAAAAAAGTACTATGTACATGCGTATGTATGTATGTATGTATGGATATAATAATAATATTAAATAGAATTGACTATAAAAGAAATGTGTTTCAATTATTGTTTCATTTCCCATTTCATTCCTTAATAACGGTTTAATGTATTTGTGAGTTATGTGTGTTTGTTTTTTTTTTTATTATAACTGTAAGAGAAAGAATTAGAACTTAAATCTTCATTCATATTTCGTTCTATACTAAAACAAAATACATACATATGTACTTAATTACATAAATAATTACGAATATTATTAGCTAGTTACTAGTTACTAGTATATACTTTCATAGTGTGTTAATAAAATTTTAAGAATGCAAAAAGTGAATTTATAAAGTGTGTAAGGCCAATGTTAAAATGTAATTATTGATCAAATATCGAACAAGAGAAAAAGTTATGAGAAATTGAATAAATTGTCAGTGTTGTTGACGCGCGTATTCCAATAAAATATATAGATACATCAATACAAAATTCTTTCACTTATATTTTTTAAGTTAACTCCGTTGATCGATTTCTAGATTACTTAATTTGTTAAATTGAATTTTAGTATTTTTATTATTGTGATATTCGTCAAAACTCGCTATTCAGTAAATATTCAATAGTATTATTGCGCTGATTGAAAATACTACTAATTTTTCATTGAAAAATCAAATTCCAAGTACTTTTTAAAACATTCTGTACTAAATAATATTTGAAAGCGTGTACACATGCTTATACAGAACAATATGTAAAAAATATGTTATTACAAAAATCGTCTGTGAAATAAATGTTAACAATAATCATTGTTACAAGATCTCTTTGATAAGAAAGCCCTGTTAACATTGACATTGGCGCTTTCATAGTTTTTAAAATTTTTTTTTGTATTTATGAAACTTATAAATTAGTAACTAGAATGTTGTTTAATCACTGTAAAAAATTCATAGTTAGTAACCAGTAATCACGAATATTAATTGATTTCGCTCTCTTCTTTCAGTATGTGTGCGTATATGAGCACTAAATTGTGTTACATGTGTGTGTTGTACTTAACAAAATATTTTTTTCTTAATTTTTTGTATTAAATTAAAAATCTTTGAAGGGAAATGAAATGGTTTGCCTAATGGATCTTAAAAGCTACGTAGAGTTTTTATAATATTTCTTTTGTTGTATTCTTATATGCATAAGTATATACATACTCGCTTTTGGAGAAACTCTTTTACATATTTTAGGAATAGTAGTGTGATGTGAAAAGCAAATTAATGTTTGTTATTTAATATTTAGTTGATACTTTTTCAGCGTGGTGAGGAGGATTTTCCACGCTTTTATATATTACATATTTTTAAGTTAAATTTTAAATTGTTAGGTGTTAGTTTAGAGTTAACAAATTTTAATGGATAGCCGATCCCCTGATGATCCCCCGTCGTATGATGAAGCAGTTGGTTTCAGACAAGGTAGGTATTTCGTTTTTTGTTATATTTTTTGATAAATATTTTTTTGTTAACTTTGAAATGAGGGTAAAGCTTTTTTCATTGACTTAATTAAAAGAGTATTTTCTACAGAATGAGGTGTTGAAATTTTTTAATTTTGTTCAATGAAAAAATGTGTATGAATATTGTATGTGTGCAACGCAAGAGAAAAATGTAAACATAAATTCTGTCAAAATCTACTAAAGCAGAAAGAAGCTAGTCACTTTTCTTGCATAAAAATGCACATATACACGTATGTAAAGAGTTTAGTTTATCATAAAAAGATGACAGTTCAGTTGACTCTCTTCATTTCATAAAATTGTAAAGAGAACTTTTGGAATAAATGTTAATTTATACAAACAAACTTATTTTTGTCAATTTCTCAAAGTCAAAAACGAGTTGCGATAGATTGTGTACGTCTTTAATACTAAAAATATCTTTTTGTATTTTTTGTTTCCTCAAATGCAAATTGTCGAATAATTTATTTGAGTATTTTTAATTGCTATTTTATATTCCAGAGTCGTTAGAATTGACTCAAGGAACATCATCCTCATTAAATAGTAGATCACCAGGAGATCATCAGGTATCATCAATTAAATCAACACTTTATAAGAAAAATGCACCATCACGTAGTATTCAAAGTCAGCATTCTTCACGGCCGCCGGTTCAGCGTGCTATTCCTAGACAACAGAATGAAAGAGGTTCACGATCGCCACGACGAATTCCTTCAAATAGTCTCCCAGATAATGGTAATATGATTTTATTTTACATGTACCTTTTGGTGATCCATTAAATTCTATATATTTAAATTCAAAATTTTTAATTTAGTTACTTTACGTTTTCACTCTTATATGTCAACTTCCGTTTGTCCTGCATGTGAAAAAAATATAAAATATGGATATGTTACTGAAACGAATTGGAGTACTCATTTACTTGCTGCCGTTTTATGTATAATGGGGTATGTATACTATATTTAAATCATGAATTTATTAAGTAGAGGAAATTGGTACAAGTAGTAACAAATATTCCTTTTTTTTTATTAGGTGCTGCATATGTAGTTGTATACCATATTTTGTGGATTCTTGTAAAACACGACATTACTATTGTCCAAATTGCAGAGTTTATCTTGGAACTTATAATGGTTTACTAGGTGCAACACGTCATTACAATCGATAGTGTTATAAAAAAACTTACATATTAGAACTGGAAATTATAGTTAATCAGTTATAAACGATGAACTTTATTTTATAAAATTATAGTAAATATTATTTTTGGCAATTTAATTGCAATAATTATTGCAATGTTGCCCTAATTATGCTTACCTTAATAATTTTGATCGAGTTTAATTTTAATATTAATTACTTTTACTTTATATTTTATTGTTAATTTAATATTTTCTTTTTGGTTTACATTTAGAATAGAATAAATAAATGTTATACGATTTGAAAATGAATACTTTGTCGTTGTGACGTTTACTTATATACTCTTTAATGGAGAGAAATTAGTAAAAAATTTTCTTCTAGAGAAGTGGTGTTTTCCCAACAAGATGTCTATTTCTTTATATATACACATAAAATATTGAAATTTTATGTTGACGGATGTACAGAGTTGAACTATGTAATCTTTAAAATGTGTGAAAACACAAAAATTTTCCAATTTCAGCCGTTATTCAACGATTTATTCAAATCATATTGTTTTTTTAAATTTTTTCTCTTTTTCCGGTAGAGGGTGTCAAAATTCCCAATACAATATCAATTTTCTAACATTTTTGAGAGAGTTTGAAATGAGAAATTGACATTATATTTTTCATTTGTTTTCGGCTCTTTAGATTTATTCTACAGAAAAGCTTTTGTAATAATCAGTAAATTTGTTAAAAAATTTTAATTTATTTTCAGTTTTGTTAAAGCATTCGGTATATTGTGTAGTTATTAAGGGAAACTATTTTTTATTTAATTTGTGATTTAAAAACTCGCATATTTCAAAAAAAAAAACAACAATTTGTATTAGACTGAAAAAGATATATTGAATACATTAAAATCAAGTAAATGGAGAAAAGGAATTTAGACACATCTGATCTTCCTTCATATCAAGACGCTACAGGTAGTTTTTCTTTACAAATTCGAAGTACATTTATAACAAGATTCTTGAATATATGTATGATCATATGAGACTTAGAGTATATATAATGTAAATCATTGAGGCTTCTACGTAGATATTGTTAAAAATGCATTAAATTTCATAAACAATGCACGTCAGTTAAATTTTGTATTCCATTTTTTTAAATTTTGAATGTGATCATTAATGAAATTTAACTTTAGTTGCAAGTTACAAAAATACATACATATATACAAAATATAAATTTTAAAGTAAAAAAATTATTTCCCATTTTAAAAAACTTACAAAATTTCCATGTGAGTGAAAAAAAAAACAATCTTCGTTTTGTTTGGTAAGCTTTTTACACAACGCTAATGTAAACAAAAAATCATTAAGAAATTGAGAAATAATTTTTGTTAAACATTTTCGTAAAGTTACAGTTTCCTCATAAAATATTGTCCATTTCCCGCACTAGAGTGGACTTTGCGTTGTCAAAAACAATAATTATCGTTTCATTATAAAAGGAGTTTATAAACTGCAATGAACATATACAATATATTGATTTAGAAATTGTGAAAGTGAAAGTGAACTTCCAGAAAAATGTATACACTATTCAGAAAATTCTAAAATCTCTTTATACACTGGAACAAAAATAAACAATTTTCGTATGAAAATACTCTGGTACTATGTTCCTAATCTTCCATTTAAAAAGTACAACAAAATTACTGTGATGTTTGGAATTCAATATAACTCCATATAATTCAATTGGAAATGCTATATTAATGAGGAAATGCAAAAAAAAACTTAATTTGAAAATATTCTTAGTTTTAAGTTACAGTGAAAATTAAGAAAATTACAAAATTAATTAATTTTTATAATTTAACTTTAATTTTTAGCTCCACTTGCGAAAGACAACCAACAACCAATGAATATAAATAATCAAATTCCAACGATAGGATTTAATCAACCAATTCACCAGCCAATTCAACAGCTACAACCACAAGTCTTTTATGATTCGGGGAACAGACAAGTAAATATTCCGCTACAACAACAAACTGGTCAAACGACAACTGTTATAGTTACCTGTAAATATTTTAATTTTCAAAATGTTAAATTAATAAAATATTAAATTAATTTTTATGATAAGCTCCTTCAAATTATGGCCCGTATCCGCAGCATGTAATTTGCCCATCTTGTGGAGTGCGTACACAAACTAGAATTGTTGCTGAAAGTAATTATATGACACATGTTTTTGCAATTGCATTATGTTTGATGGGGTTAGTATTTCTATCGGCTTAAAAATATTTTAAAAAATTAAATTTTGTCATATGTTTTTATTTTAGATGCTTTTGTTGCAGCTGTATTCCATATTTCGTCGATTCCTGTAAAAACAAAAATCACTACTGTCAACAATGCAATACTTACCTTGGAACTTACAGTAGTCTACCTAGTCGATATTAGTTTTCTCATTGAAGAATTCAACGAACCTTTTTCAAAAGTAACTTATTCAAAACTACTTTAGTTCATGAAAAAATTATAATAGATTTTGAATTTAATCAGATCGTTTTATTCCCGAAATATGTGAAATATGTGAAAGAAGTATTGTATAAACTTAATTGTGATTTTTCATATTTCTAACACATATTATGTATGTGTATATTTATATATAGGCAGTATAATATGTTATATTAGTTTGCTTTTGCAAATTTTTTTATAATAAAATTGTAATAAATTTTACGTATAAGAAGATTATGATTATTATTTTTGCATTAATGAGTTTGTTAGACTTAAATTGATGAACAAAATTTTTCTGTGCAATGATTTCCTCATTAACTCCCGATAAAATCAAGTAACATGATCTATAGAAAAAGAAAAAAAAATTTCTTTAAATATCAAATTGTATTTTAAACAAATGAAACAGAAGTTTCGATATGTTCAACCATAACTGAGCTAAATCTCGATTTTATGTAAAATTCAAATTCATATTTTGTATTGGCCCAAGAAAGTTGTAAAATTGATTAGAAGCTTATTTTCATATATCGAATTCTCGCACAATTTATAAGGCGATTAACTCCAAGGCATCACTCCAAAAAAGAAAATATTATAACTTTTATATATTTCCAAAAGATGGCAAAAATTTATCGTAAAATTGAAATTTTTTCCAAAAATAGAAGGACAGTGGACACTTTCTCTTTATATCAGAATTATTGTACTAAAAAAGTTGTTCATTAAATTTAATTAATTTTTTTTTTTTTTTGAGAGTAATTTTTTCTCATGTTCGTCAAGTTTTATATGATTAAACTTTAGAGTACTAAAAATTGTTGTGGGAGCGGAGAAGAAGAGAAAAGCTGTACAGAAAATTTTAGGTATTAAAAATCTTACATACTTTAAATGTTTTTATTGGTGTTGGTACGCTCTAAAATTTAAACACTGATTGTATAGCTATGATTGAAAGGATTTAATCGCAAGTGGATTACTTAAGATTAAATATACAATAAATAAAAATGAATAATCACTTACACACGTACACTATTGATAGTAATTTAAATTAATTATTTTTTTTTGTCCCCATCAAATAAATGCATATTTGTAATCTAAAATCAATTGATTATAAATTTTTTTAAAAATTTGTTCTTAATATTTTAGAATATTGCTTTGCTTTTAATAAAGTTTTAATAAACATGTTGAGTCCTTTAAGCTCAGACAGAATTAAAGAAGTAGAATTACATATAAGCTATAACTGCCACTTATTCCAATGGCTAAATAATAATTCACCGTTTCATTTACATGTATAAGTACCGTAAAAAAATGCACAGAAAAGTTGCGCGCTCTCATATTAATAGCAAAATTTTGTTTTAATATTATAATGTGTATGTGTACTCTATATTTGCATTTGCATTTTGAATTTGTATAGGAAAGTTCTCGTGTGTGAGTGACAATTTTTAACGAAAGCTTTTGCCATTTTAAAATTTTGTGTTGTATTTTGTTTTAGAATAAAAATCGCCTTATTCTGACGAAATGTTATTTTTTTTGTTTTTCAAATAGGCACCGCACCACCATCCATGTTATTAAACATCTTTAGCTATTGTTCTTTTTCTCTTATTTGTTTGTTTCTGTTATTTTACCAAATATTTTTATTATTATTATACTTTTTTTCGTATTCTGAAAAAAAAAACTGACTATAGGGTAGAATTTTAAAAACAATTTTTAGTAAGAAAGTTGACGCGTTACCAATTGGTAGTATTAAAGAATATAAATTTAAGAAAAATAATAACAGTTATTGAAAAGAGTAGAATTTAAAAGTAATAATAAAATTTCGTTAATTATATTAAAGATTAATTTTGTAAAATAATTTTAAATTTTAATTTTGCTTTTAATATTCATTCATAAATAATATTCACATAATTTGTATATAAAAATTGAATTAATTAATAAAATAATTTATTTTTTCTTGTAATTCCGTTAATCCACTCTGTTAAACCGTTAATACACTGTACTGGATATTTAATATTAACAAAATAAAAAAAAATAGCATTTACAGAATGATTATTTAATATAATTTTTTTTTCTTATTTATTTTTTTTTTCAATTATTTGAACAGAAACAACAAATATTTGTGCAAAAGAATAAAAATAATACAAAAATATGTTGGTCTGACAATCAATTGTTATAATTTAAGCTTATAATGAGTGTTAAGAGAAATTATAACAAAAATATATTGCTCATATATTATTTTTACTACAATATGTTGCTCAATAACAAATTTTTAAAATTCCAAGAAATTAATGTTTTAATTATTATTTATATTTAATTTCAATTTATTAAAAATACAGTAGTAGCTCAATTAAAATATTCAATTAGAATTAAGATATTAAAACGTAATAAATAATAATGAATGTAACAGAATACTTACCCATCACTATATTATAACATTATACTGTAGTAAAGTAGCATTACAATAATATTGAGGCTTAGAATATTCGGTGACAATTAGTGCGCGACAATATATAATTCAATGTCACTGACAAACACTATATACATACATATTATAATTGTTGACATTTTGAACTTATTGAATTGAATTTTTTTCTAAAATTTCTTGTATTATCTTCTCATAGGTAGAATAAATTCTATTGTTAAATTATATTATAATATATAACAATTAAGAATAATGATAAAAAAAAAATTAAATTTATGTTATACATAATTTTTTGTTAAATTATCTTATTTCTTCAAGAATCTTAAAATTATTTTTTACAATTTTAGTTCAAATTTTCAAACACTTTAATTACTATTGTAATATTTATTAAAAAAGATATAATTATATTAGAGGCATTCCTAAGATTGAGAATTATTAAATAATTCATCTATTATATAAAAAATTCTTAGATTTTATCAAGTTGTGCTCATTTAACATATTGTAAATATAGAAAAAAATTTAAAATAAATTAAAATATAATAAAACTATTATGAATTAGGTACGTTTATAACTTAATAAAATTCTTAAAATAAATGATAAATAATAGACAAATATTTAGAATATTCTGTTGCTATTAGGATGAAAAACTATATCGTATATATATGTATGTGTGTACACCAAAAAAAAAATCTAATCAAAATGACTGATTTAAGACCCAAATGTTCATAAATATCAGTCTAGAATATAATAAAATTATTAGAATAGGCCACAAGCTATTTATATCGATAATATGTGTATAGAGATGCGGTGTAGAAATTATCACAAAAAACAAAATATTCAGAAATAAATTCTAAATAAAATTTATATAAATTAAATTGTTTTTATTAAAAAACAAACAAAAAAAAAACAATACTATATTACTTTCAAAAATTTTGTGAAATGAGAAAACAACCTGTTATAAATTGGAAATTTTTACCTTTACTTTCTCATTTTCATCTTTCTTTTTTCGTTTGATTTTAAAATCATTTTGAAAAACATGGAAAAATTGCAAATTTAATTATTGTAACTTATTTTTTAAATATAATTTCACAATTTCGAGTCAGTTTCTCTAAAATTTCGGCTGTAATATCAATCACTTGTTATCAATTTATTGTAGGTATTGTAGAAATGAATAGCGCTACAAAGAGGCGCTATAAACTTACTAATTGAATAACGAGAAAATGTCAAATTATTTGCTAATTTAGTAATTTAATTAATTCATTAATTTATATAATAATTTTATAATCTTAATCGGGCGTCCGTTTCCACATGATGGTGGTGTGTCTTCACTCATGAAGTGATAAAAATGAAAAAACATTATGTAAAAGCAAATAGCAAAAGTATCACACATGAGTTTCCAATTTGTGAAGGTGAATAATTTTTAAAGACGTATTAAAGTTACTCGAATATCTGAATTTATAATATTATTCAACATAATTGTCCAACAACATACATTAATGTTAATCGTTTCTTTCATTAAAATTCAATTTAATCGTATTTTGCGGATTATAATTTGCCCAGTTGCCAAAATTGCTACATAAAATACAGTAATTTTTATATGAATTATTTAAAGTTGGCATTATCAACTATACATACATATGTATAAATTTTTTCATATTTGTTTTTTTTTGGATTAGTATGTTTATAATTTATTAAAGCAGCTATCGAGCAAAAATTATAAATTTCATTTATTATTTAAATTTGTTTTTAAATGATTCTGGTTGTGTTTTTTTTTCTCATTTTTTATGCATATATTTAAAAGAAGAAGAACAGCATAATTTTAATAAAATCAAGAAATTTAAAAATAAATTGTATATGAGCCGCTCTTTTGATAATGTTATCATTTAGAATATCAACAAGTCAAAATGGTCAAAATTTCTAAGCAAAGCAAATCAAGTCTTTTGCTGATTAAAATATAAAATGGTTTCTTAGAAATGCTTAATTAATTTAATAAGAAAAATTTGCCAATTTTTTTTTCAAAATTCTCTTAAAAATTATTTTGACAATCTTTAATGAGAAAAAAATGTTCTCCGCCAATAAATATGCAATTTTTATAAATTGAAGAATGTGTGAATATTCGACATTAATATTGTGAAATTGATATTATTTTTTATAAATTTTATTTTACAAATTATTTTTAAGGGTAACTAGTTAAATTTCAAATATATTTCTTTTAATTCAAATTGTGCTTAAATATGTATGTATGATTATATACGTTTAAGTTAATTGTATTAATTTGATATACTAATTTAATAGTCTATTCTTTAGAAATTAAAAAAATAGGGAAAACAAAATTAAAGCTTTTGTATGTAATCATTAATTTTTTTTTTCTGATTCTCGTACATGAACAAATGTAAATACTTGCATGCATACATACATATATAATGGTAATGGCTGTGTTATGTTACAATGCGATTTATATTTAATAGAATTTAATTTGAATAATTTAAAATTTTTTATTTTTAATACCTGCATTCCTATGAACATGTTTATTTTTCTATTACAATGTGTATTTCAATGAAAGTACATGATAACACTATAAAGTTTCAAATTTATTACCATTAGTAAATTGTGTATTTGATCACCTTTTTTTTTAAAGATAACAAAGTAATTTTATAATGTTTTTTTTTTTATAAAATAACAATTAAAGACGATTAATAAATTGAACAGCTTACATTTGCAATTGAACAAGTTTCATTTTAATTTTTTTTGAGAAAAACGAGAATTTTTATGCTTTTTAGTTTTTGCATGTTTGCACCTTATATGTAGTATGTATTCGATACCTTGAATAAATTGTTTAATGTCCCGATAAAATTAAGGGATAAGCGGTATTAGAACCCCATTTTTGACAAAGATATCTCATTGCTCAATCATTTATTAAATCATTCAATTATTACAGGTTTTATTGGCGGTGTATTATAGCGTATTATTAGGCTGATTAAAATTACAATTGGCGAGAACAGATTTTCCAAATTTAAAAATAGAGATTTTTACTCATGATTACCTAAAATTTTTACGAATGTATTATGATTAATTTTGAAATTAAATTTCTTTTAATTGTAACTGAAATTTGTAATAATTATTTTATTGTTTGTTTAAAAATATATTTTCAAATAACAAAAACATTCAGTTTTAATCTTTAATTAATTACAAAAAAAAAAAAAAAATTACTAGTCATAATTATTTTTTAATTTCTGCAATATTAAACGAACAAGTTTAATGAAAATTCTTGTGTTTTCTAATCTGCTTGACTTTTCTAATTTTATAAACGCTTGTATAATTTATGAACATATCGTATTTCATTTCAAATATTTGCAACAAAAATATATTATGGAATTATTGGAAAACCTATAACAATTAATAAAAGACAATGACGTCTGGGAATTACAATAATTCATCATTTTAAATTCTTTTTTCATCACAGTAAATTTTACATGGAGATTTATGTACAGAGATTCAATATAATATACAATGTAAAGTTTACTAAATACGTTCTTAAACTGTATATAGAATATTAATAATTATTATCTAAAAATATAAATAAGTTATGATTTCCCGGAATAAATTAGAAATCGATTACAATTAGCAAAAAAAAAGGAGAGATGAATTACAGGCGTAATCAATCAAATTTTAGAAGCCAATCTACTTGTTAGTGATTTCAAAAGTGTTAAACACATTTTTCACTTATTTGTTAAATGTGACTATTTCCAACACAACAAAGACTTTGTATGTTTAATAATCAGACTAATAATTTCGCTTTTTCATTTAAAATTTTGTAAAACATGAGACCAAAAACTAAAAATTCAATTTTTACTCACTCTATCAGGCATGGTTTTTGATTTAAGGCAGTTCCTTTATTGGAACTCAATTTAATCATTTATAAATTTATATATAAATAAGTACAAATGTGATTTTTTAAAATGATTACATATTTATGGTTGAATTTGCTTATAATGATCGAAATTATCATGATTAATAATTATTTTAAATGTTGTTTCTAATATATTGTTCCGTGATAATGCCTTTGACATCATTAGGACTTTACACTATAGGACAATTATATAAAATTGCACGCAACTGTGCCTCCACATATAGAGATGTGGAGAAAGTTTTAATATTCAATTTTAATAAGCATAAAAAACGTTTATATTAATATCATGAATTAATATTCACTTTATGAAAATAAAGTGAAATTAAAATACAAAGTTTATATTAATAAATGCGGAATTTAATTTTAATAAAATTTCAATGTCAATTATGATATTATAGATGTAGGAGTTAATAATTAATTTGTTTAGAAGCTTTTATAGTTAATTCACTACTTTTTCCAATTATAATTTTATATACACACATACACACACGTACAAATACATGTTATGTAAATTTTTTTTTATTAAATAATTAAAAATTATGGAAATTTCAATTAAAAAAAAATTTTTTCTTGTTTCACTTTAATTTTTTTATTGCAGATCGGTTGATCATCATTTAGGTTTTTGTTATTTTCTTAATTAAATTTCTAAAATAGCTCGATTTTTCAATTTATAATGGGTAAGTAATTAAAAATGAAAATAAAATTTTTTGCAATTTAAAAAAAATAAATTTTCTACTTCGAATTGATTAGCATTTGGTCCAGAACCATGTTCAACAACATGTCCAGCATGTGGAAAATCAATAACAACACATGTTGAACATAAAGCAACAACAAAAACTCATATTCTTGCTGCCCTTTTATGTATTTTGGGGTAAGTAAATTAGGACAATTACTTTCTTGCAGATCTTATGTCAATTTGCAGTGATTCGGCAATTAAAATCGTATATATTGTGAGAAAAATGTCAAATTGACGTTAAATTTGAATTCAGGTAGACGATAAAATTAATTGAAAATTATTATGCATTTTGGCTCCGAAATGCATAATAATTCAGTTTAATTCAGAGAAAAATTAATAAAATCATTTGATTATCAAATAATCGCCTTCTTCCGCGATTAAATTTTACTGCAATACATTAAACTTTTTCTGTTTTGAACAATATTTTTTCCTAATATAATTGTAATTTTAAACTAATATTCTTCCTTTTTTTTTATTTTTTATTAAGATGCTGTCCGTGTGCTCTTGCCCTGTATTGTACAGGTTGTGCTCGTGATTTAGAACATTACTGCCCAAGTTGCAATGCATTGGTTGGAACATACACTAAATAAAATATCATTTTTGAATTTTATATATATGTAGTTACCAAAGATACATATTGGCCTTTATTATTTTGATTATAATAATATTAAATGAGCAATTAATATGTATTTTAATAATCAAATATAAACTTTAAGAAAATGGCGGAAAATTCAATATTTTTCTATTTATATTAAAAGTAAAGAATTTTTTTCCTGGACCATCAGAATTGTTTTTAATAACATTTTTCAATTTATAAATTTTTTACTTATGTACTTTCATACATTTTATAGATTTTATGTTATTAATTTGTAAGTTTCAAAGAATAATTTTTTTTATTATGTTTTATTTTTAAATATGTTTTTTATATTTTAACAATTACAAATTAAAAATATACCAAACAAAAATTATATTTCAAGATTAAAAATGTAAAATGAAAAAAAAAAAAATGGAATCAATTTTTGTACAAGCACATTCTACAGGTATTATTAGTCACAGCTCGTATCTTTGTCAAATATTATTAAAAAAAATATTAAGATTAAGATAAAAAACGAGAAAACAAATAAAAAAAATATGAAATAAATAAAAAAAAAGAGAAAATTATATGTGGTTTAATTTGATCCTTTTACATTACAATTGTATGTGTTCAGTTTAACTATATAAGTCTAAAGTGGAGTCCCTTATGGCCTCGAGAGACTAGAAATATTTTTAATTTTAGACCGCGAGAGAAATTAAATTGTTATATTCTGCAAAAACACAAAATTTTGTACTAACCAAACTAAAACTGTTTAGAAATATTTCTTGAAATCCGACAAAAGGTTTCTACAAGATTAAAAATTTGCCGTCAACTTGATTTATTCAACAACTTTAACAACTATAAGTTAATTTGATTTTCTAATTATTCAAATTGGTTCCATTTAAGGGTGAACTACTGCAAAATTGTACTCAATAATTTCTAAATAAAATTTTGTGTTTAAAAGAAATTCTTTAATAAGCAAAAAATATCCAAGGGTTATATTAAATAACCTTGTTTGTTTACAAGTACTTGCAATTTACTTTGACTCTTTGCTTCCATTTTTTTATAATTCAAAAATTAGAATTTCAAAAAAATTAAACGAATTAAAAAAAAACTAAACATTAAGCGTTAAAACGTAAACGCTGGGGGTAACTAATGTTGACGTCAGTTGCGTTTAGCCGAACGCATGCTTATATACTTTTCCAATGTGGTGCAAAAACAATGAGCACATAGGAAAATGTCCGGTTCATTTTACTAAAATGAAGTTTAAGTACAGTTAATCAATTTAATAAAAAAAATTCGTGTCATATAAATTTTTTTCATTTCATTTTTACGCAGTCTCTAATAAACATTAAAGTGTTGATTTGCTTTTTAACTTAATTTCTGTTTTATTTCATATTTTAATTGATTAAAAATTAAAAGTGTTATAAAATTATTATACTTGACTAGTACCTAAATATTGATTACAATTATTACAAAAATGACTACAATATTTGAAACGTTGGCAACAATACGGAATGCAGCACATCCTGAAAAAAAATTTTTTTATAAAAATTAGAATAATACAAAACTCTGTTAACTTGTTGAGAATTTGTATGCAATTACAAAATGAAAATGGTATGAGAGATCATAAATTAAATATTTTTGCACCATAAAATTTGCACCACAATGACAATAGTATTGCGTTTCAGCTCACTGATTGAGAGAATAATGAGAAATTCAATTGTGAATTGGGCTAACGAATTTATTTTATACTGCATTCATCCCGCGCAATTTTCATTTGTTCTACAGTCTATTTTCTTATCTAATGTGGTAAGAGTTTAAAATAATATAACCATGGATTAATATTAATGTATGATAGTATAAATTATTATATTCAAGTTATGATCTTTCATTTAGAACACCTAAAGTGATTTTTCTGAATGGAATTAATTATAGCTTACCCAATTAAAGTAAAAAACAAGGCTGCAATATGTGTCTTAGCTCCAATTTCATATACAATTTTAGTATATCTTGTTTGATTACAGTTGCAGCATTTAACTACCGATGGTAATTGCCCCAGCACTGGAAGAACTAAAAGAAGAAAAACAAAATTTAGACACCATAGTAGAAAAATACAAGAATATGAAAAACAATTATAAAAAAATGTGTGTTCGGCATTATGCTGATTATGTGTGTGTTAAAAAAGCAAAAATTATTCATATGTTTTTGCAATTACAGCTCTTTCACAACTCCATCATTTCACCATTCCACTATGAGCAAAACTCTCTCCAACGTACGAATATGTAGCTTTATATTTCATTGACGCTTGCAACTAATAAAGAACGTCTAACAAATGGAAGGCTTACTTTTCAATAATTTTATTACATTGCCGGGCATAAATTGCGGTCTATTGTTGTTACATATTTGTGTAGCATGAAAAAAGTTATATATTATAGTAATACTACAGGAAGGAGCATATTTCATTCTCTCTTATTTGTATTCTTTATTAGAATATTGTATATTGAAACAAACACGCTGTAGCCGAAAATTGAAGATATCTCCGTAAAGCCTGGAATGCTCATTATAAGAAAATTCACAGCAACAAAATTGAGATATTCTTCCAAATAAATATGCTTATCTAGATAGAGGTTTGGTCTAACATTGAGATATATAATATTACCTCTCCATATACACAAGTTCTACGCCATCGCTGTTTCTCAAGGAACTTGGAAATACTATAAAATGAGTTGGATACAATATCTGCAGGATTCAGAAAACCGCATTCAGCTTATCAATATTTATATTTTAACAGATTTTAAAGGTTTAAATAAAACGTGAAAGCTTTTCCACTCAACAACGGATACAGATTACCGACACACTTCAGCGGAGAGAATATTAAATTATGCTGACCACCCCAAATAGTGTGATTAATAAGGTCAATTCTTTGTAAAATCACAAGTTTAATGATGATCCTTTTTAATATTCATGATCCTTCTTACATTGTGCGAGTCTAAAGTAATGAACCTTTTATTTTTTTAAAAAATTTAATCTAAGCAATGGGAGTGCCAGATTTTCATGTTATTCTATATAAAAAATAACAAAATTAATTTTAAGAACATTTATTTTTTGTAGCATTTGAAATTTAATGTAGCATACACGAACAATGAGTTTAAATTGAACGATGGTAATGAATGGACTTTTGCATGCTTAGCATGTCTTCTATTAACGTATCTTAAATACACTCTATGCTTAATCTGTCATTAAGCTTTTTAAAAACCTAAATTTTTTCACTGTTTACCTTGCGTTTTTGTGATACATATATACATACATAATTACATACATAAGTTGTTTAAAACTAAAATTGTTATTACCTTAAGCATGCAATGATGATTTTAAATCATGCATGCTTTTAACATGATAACTATCCTTTGACAACATGTAGCCTAATTTTAATAATTTTTTATTGTTTCGGATATAACCTTTAAGAAGACATAATTACGTTAAAACTTAAGAGAGATTTCAATTTTTATCATCAAATTCAAAAGAAGCGTGCCTAGTTAAAAACTGAAATGAGAATTTTTTTATTGTTTGTTTTTTAATTAGTAAATTTTTCATAAATAAAAAAAATATTTCACTGGGTGTAGTTCGTCGTCAATTTTCAGCTTATTTTTCTTTTCCCTTGAAATATTTATTATAGAATATAATTGTCCTTTCATAATATTATAACAATCGCACATGCTACGTAATTTTATTCATTAGGCGTCGTTTAAATGTTCATAATGTGAAATTGGATATCTAAACATAATATTAAATTGTTGTTATAATTGTGATTTATAACGGGCGTGATCTAACCTAAAACTACTTGTATATAATAAAAAAGCTTATTTTTTTTTTTAATTATTTTAGTGGAATCACGTTATCAAAAATTCTAAATATTATTTGTACAATTTATTGAACTAGTTTCTTGTACTTATTTAGATGTGAATGTATAAAAGTTAATAATAACAAAATAATGGGTGACTTTTTAAGGCATTAGAATTTTCAAATAATGTTCTAGAAAAAAAAGAGGAAGAAAGCATAAAATTTAGCTAGCACATTTTTACCACCTTTATTTAATTCCATTATGTATTCCAAAAGATTATACCGCTAATAAAGAAACTATTGACCTTGAACGTTTATTTTAGGTTAATGACATTTAATATTAAGAATTTTCAATATAAATAAAAAATTTAATGTTATTAATATTAAAGTTTTGCAATTTAAAAACAATTGAACACTGTTCAGTTTATTGCCTAATTAATTTTTAGCACTTAACTCACATCTGTGAACACTTTTAAAATTAATAATATGCCTTAATGTATATGGGTCTAAATATATAAGCATGTATATAATACAATAAAATAATTTGTATTTAAATATGTTTTTTTACATACTAAATAAATATGTATGTATGCATAGTATGTCTATATAAAAATTACTAGAAAATATTTGTTACTAAATTTTCATGCTTGAGAAAAGTGACCACAGGACTGCCAACTTAATTGTTGGCTGACGTGTAAATTAATTATAGAAATAATTTAAAAAATATTAAAAAATTAATTTAAAATATTCAATTATACAAACATACACTCATACAGTATTGAAATTTAAATGAAATCTGGTATTTAGTGAGCGATAATTAATTTTAGTTTTAAAAATATTTTAATTTAAAAAAACTGCAACACAATAACAAAAATTAAATTAAGAGTTTTATAGAAATGTTTGGAATTTCTACAAATAACTACACATACATATGTATATTTTTACATCTAGAAACTATGTATGTATGTATAAGTATGTAAAAAATAATAAGTATGCATTGGTAAAATATAAAACCTTCTAATTTAATTATTGGCTTTTCTCTTGGCAATTGTGAGGTTATCTCTTGAAGATTTCTGCTTAATCTACGATGATCTGATGATGCTGAATTTCTTCTATAAACAATTTCAGCTGGTGTTAAATTATTTGCATAATTTGGATATCTAGCTAATTTATTTTCCATTCCAGAAAACTTGTAATACTTTTAATTTTGTTTGTAAATTATTTTTTTATTTTCAATTTTTTTTTCTAAATTTTGTAAATTTTTTTGTAAGCACATATAAATTTTATGAATTCGTAAACATTTTCTCACTGACAACTGAAAAAATCATATTTTGTGTACTAAACAAAACTAAAAAGTAATGGCCTTCAATGACATTTTCAAAATATTTTTTGGTGTTTTTCGAAAACAAAAAATGAAACAAAATGAAATTTTTATTTGTGAAAATTGTCATATACGAAAACAATTTTTCTTTTTTTGAAACAGTAAAATTAAATTAAAAAAAGAAAATTCTTTGTCTCTCCTCTTGTATAGGAATTGGAGAGAGTGTAAAATTTAATGATGACGTTTTTTTTTTATTATTTGAAAAAAATTCAATGACACAAAAAAAAGCATAGCCTGAACTCAGATTTTTTTGAACAATAACCAGAGGACTCCAAATATTGTTAACGTACCCGTAGGTTGCTCAAAAATGTAAATTAAGAATATTGTCAAAATGGATTTGAAATCGCTCAAAGCTTTCAATTTCTCAACAAACCAATTCAGTAATTAATTCAGCAATGATTTAACAGAAAATTTTGCTGGTGAAAAATTTTTAAATTTGCTTTTTTAATTGTTTGGAGTAAATATAAAAATTTTTTGATTTCATTACGTAAATTTTGCCATATTTTCTTTATAATTGTGGAGACTTTACTGTTTATATCGCGAAGTGCTAAATCAAAAATTTGATCAGCTTTCTCTTTGTGTCTATTTTCAGATTAAAATTAAAAAGATGATGTTTTTATAAAAATTTTTTTATAAATATAAAATTATTTTATTCTTTTTTATAAATTCATTATTTAATAGATAAAACAAGCTAGCCAATTTGGTTTATATCAATTATGCCATAGAGAATATTTTTTGACATAGTATATGTACATACATATGTATGTATGTTATGTAGGGTTTTGAAAAGCGAACAGTTTTTCTAATTGCTGTGATTACTTTGTTTGTTATTTTAAAATAAGTATAATTTTCATTGGAAAACAATCCATTCAAGTCTCCACAATTTTTCTATTACTTCCAAATTAACAATTTTGATTATTTCCAATGATAATTTGATACACACATGTCTACATTATTAAGGACTAATAAGATCACACCCTCAGGTATTTATTCTAAAAGGTTCATATCTAGTTACGGGTTTCAAATTAATTAAAAAAATAAGACACTTTTAATACAAAAGTAATATATTAATTAATGTTCTTTAAGGGACACTAATTAATATATTATTTATATAAGAAAACTCTATTGTAAATAATTTTTAAGCTGAATTTATGTTGTAAAACTAGAAGTCTAAATTGAGTTTATTTTAACTAAACTGTCTGTTCCAAAAATCGCACAAATCGGGGCCCTAAAACACTTCGTTATTTTATTAATACAATCAGCACTATGTGCGCCTACGCATATATATAGTACATACATTTATGCGTATATAATACATATGTACATGCACGTTCCTAAATAAGAAACTAAATTTATTTCATCTTTTACTAAATACATACATATGTATAACAAATCTGTTCAAATCAAACATAACAAAAATAAAATGTTTAAAATTAGAAATTTTTAGTTTTCTTATATTCATAATTTATGTATGTCATGATTTCTCTTCTATTTATGACGTACAAACACACATACTCATATGTCATATAAAATTTTAACATATTGTTCAATGACGTCACCTTTTTTATAGAAGTTTTTGAAGTATCCGCAGAAATCTGATAATTTTAATTTAAATCAAAAATCCTGGTTTAGGTATTATACGGCAACACTTTTTGAGCAATAAATAAGTAGATTTTAATAGCAATAACGCGAGGCAATAAAATATTTTGGAATTAAGGCAAACCTAATTGCTTCTTCTTTAATCAAATCAAATCTAATTTTTGTTCAACTATAACTCTAGCACCAGCCAGTAAAAGATTTTTATTGATTTTGATTTTTAAATTGAACCTCAAAAAGAAATTATTTTTCTATCTTTATTCATATTTTTATAAAATTTTCAAAAATTATTTAGAACTTTTCGTTAGTTTTATTGAAATCGTCACGCCAACTTAATAAAACAAAAGTTCTTTACTTCTCATTTATTTCAAAGATAACATAAGCATAACATTCTGTTGATCACAAACAACAAGAAACGTCATATTTCCGGTTATTTTAGTTTTTTTTTTGTTTTTGTTCAATCAATTTGCGTTTCGAAATAATTTTCACAATAATTTCGAAACAGAATAAAAATTCTTAAATGCCAGGTACCTAACATAACATACATAAATTTTATTGAGTTTTTTTTTCAATACTTAATTTCTTAAAATATTCCAAATCAAATGATTAAAAGCTTTTTGTTTTTTATTTCCAGAACAGGTTTTAGTAAATAATTTTAGAAAATCGGAAAAAAATTAATTGGTGCTGAAATTAACCTAGAGGTTCACAATATGTACATATATACATATGTATGTGGGAATGTTTATGCAAGTACACGTCATGTTCTTTTATATTTAAATGTCAAATTTTGACAAACTATACCAAATAGTTTATTAAGAACCTTAATTTGATTTAATCATAAAATTTGTTATATAATTTTAAGTGATCGTGACTTGCTTATCGTTTTATTTTTTTTTCGTATAATCTTGTATAATTTTATTCTTTAAATTCTGGCAAAAAAAGAAAGAGGTACCCGAATAGCTTCCAATAAAATTAAATTTTTTTTTAAAAGAAAAAATAACTAGGAATTAAGAAAACCAGAATTTTAGCTAAAAGTTTTTATTCAAATACTTATTCTGTCTTCATTTTTAAAATTTTAGAAAATGAATTTTGGAAAAAAACCAATAATTATATTATTATCCTTTTCGATAATGACGTCACAATGATTGAAATACTGTCAATTTTAATAACCACCTTAATATAGAACTTGTTTCAATTCAACACAGTGTGAATTTTTTAAGCGGTTTCAACAAATTAAAATATTCATCTTCATTTGTAATTAAATAAAAATCTATGGCCAAAATAAAAATCATTCTAAAGATTTTTATGGATTATTTTTGTTTAAAAATTTACTACTTAAATATTTTAAATTGAAATTTTAATATAAACACATTTTGGAATATAAAATAAAAATTTAAATAAACACAAAAGAGTACTTAAAACTTATTAAAATATGTTTACGGTATAAGAAAATAAATCAAAAACGAATTTCATTTTAGACCTGTTGACGTCGTGATATTATAATGTATCTAATGTAATTCAAGTATATACATAGTATACATATATATTTAAATCTATGTATGTATTCAAAAAATGAAAAATTTTTGGCGCCATTAAACGTTGCTCTTATGTGATTTGATAGTAATTGGTTTAAATTCGAATAATGACGTTGGTTTTCTAAATAATTAAAAATTAAAGTAAACACATTTACTTCAAATTCCATATTATTTTTTCTTTCCTGTGGTTCCAAGTCTATTCATTTATTGGTTCAGTAAGCAAATTTGATCCTAAAACAAATCTTTAATAAAAAAATGCAATAATTATAAAAAATTTATAAATCTTACAATTTGCCTCGGTAGCTTGTAAGAGCGTCCACTGCGTCATCTCGGGGCTAAGTCTACTAATTCGAGAACAAAATATTCTAATTTTTCTGCCTTAAGACTCTCGTTCTTGTATTTAAGAATATCTATCCGTTTTGCAGTCATGCAAATTATCTAAATTACTAAGAAAAAAAAATTAAATAAAATCGATAAAACTAATGAAATGTACTGTTAATACAATCTGAATATTAATCGATAACTCATAAAATCTTTAAATAAAATCGAAACCATATGGAATTCTTTGACACAAATCATATTAAAAAATTGTAGAAAATATTAGCATTTGTTTTTTTTTTTATTAATTTTTTTTTTTTTCAAATCTTCTTGATTATTCTACTTAAAAACAATATGCAAGCATACTAGACCCCCATAAAACTAATTAAAAAAATTTAATATTTTACAGTTTTTGCTTTTATATTGTTAAATGTGTGGGGCAATTGCATGAAAAACGAAAATTCGCTTTGAAATTTGTAAATTCGCTAAATAATGAAATATTGTTAGGCGGTGAGGGGGGGGGGGGGGGGGGGGGGGGTGGAGTTTACACTGGGGTAATGACACATGAAAAAATGTTTTTGAATTTACCTTTTATTCGAATGTCAATGCTATCCTGAAGAGTCAAATTTAGATCTAAAATCAGTTCAAACTATATGTGGCAGTGAAAATTGTACTATACCAAATTTACATACATATGTTAAATTTTAAATTATATAAACATTTCCCAGAAAAGGGCCCAGAAATCACATCGTAAGTTCTAAAGTTGACAATTTGAGCATTTTTTAAACATAAAAAGGAAGAAATAACGAATTAATATGACTTCATAATTTGACATTTAAACATCCATTGACATTTGATTTAGATTCTTTTGAAAAAATCTGTAGACTTCCCCTCCTCCTTGAATTTCTATTCGATTAATTGAAATTTTATAACAAAAATTTTCTCGTAACAATAAATAAAATAGACATTAGAATTTTAATCTGTTTAAATAAATATTAGCGGGAGGAATTCCATATTTTCACAGTACAGCAAACTACATACCTAATTGCCTTCTTCAAATATATGTAAACGCTTAACAAGAGAATTATGCTGTATGTTATACTGTATGTTTAGACTTCAGAGTATTTAAAACTTTATATTGTTCTTTTTTTTGTTCAGATTTCAATGGCATTCGATAATAATATGTAGGTACATATGTACATACATACATATAATTATGTATATATTTTTGGCACATTTCAAAAAAAAAATATTGGAAAAAAATTTGCCTATTAGTTTTATTCCCTACATAAGTATGTATAGAAATTAAAATAAGGGATTTTAATCTATACATGGAGAGATTTTTCTTTAGTTATACAAAACTGCAAGCAAATGTCGCACTGTCAAACTGATCCTCCAAATTAATCGTAATCTGAAACCGATTCAACTTTCGGAATATTGTTTTTGCTTTATATCAAAATTCCTTGAC